CAGTTACGCGCTAGCTGGGGCTAAGCGCGCGACGCGAGGGCTGAGGGGTAACGCTAGTCCAGGGTGGAGTCTTACCCTCAGGAGATGAACACGGCATACATGTACCCTCTATAACAGATCATTCGCATTGGTCTTCTTGGTCCTAATCGGTGGCAGGTTGCCAACGGTAGTGTCGACATGGTATTTTGAATGTGCTGATGGTGGAGTGGAGGAACGGTCGATGTTTCTTCCACTCCCACAGGCATTCCTGTTGGAAGGTAGTTTCCACGGGTGCCTATTACCTGATTGGGCTAGTCTGTTTACCTACTTAGCTGCGTCCCTCGACGTCTGATAACCAAAACAATAACACACACCAAAAATCTTTACTTTCAATAATTCCCATCCACCCAGTCAACGGCAACCGGCATCAATGGCGGAAAAGCAACGGAGACGTCACCATTTCCGCCCACAAGTTTATGACGGTCCGACATCCGTCTGGATCTTTCAGCTACATCCGGAGCGGAGGCCAGTAATCGTGAGGTTTACCTCAGCAAACCTTGGCAATTCGCAGTCTGTCGCTCGGAGCGGCTAGCGTTTCTCGCATCCCTCTGCCGACATTCACCCAGCAAGACTCACAGCAGCAGCGCAACCGAAGTTCGACCACGGAAGCTGAAAGGCACGTAGTGCAGGACGTGATGTCTTTATTTCTCCAGGCCAGGTGCGGGGCGCTGGGTATAAAGTGGCCCTGGTGGACCCATTGATGCCCAGTTGACTTTGTCCTCTCCTGCACTCATGTGCGCGCTTCTATATTCCACCTCCCCAGAAGTAGACTGCTCTGGTCCATTGCTGTATCGTCATTTGCAAACACGTTGCCAACCAACACCGCCACGGTGACGCCTGTGACCAATTCCTCCTTCATCAAACCGGGGATCGGAGTCGAAATCCAGCGGAACCCAAGAAGACATCGAACAGGTGGCTCAACATCGATTTCGATCTCATGGAGACCGGAAAAAGTACCATCAACAAAGCCCGCGGAGGGTAGGTCTGGCATACCTTCGAGCAATAGTGCGTACAGCACTAACTCTGTGCAGCGAGCCAAGTGTGTTTTCTGAGCGCTGGGCGGGCGTCAAGCAGCGCATGAAGACTCGTCGAGAAGCTAAAGCCGAACGCATATGGACGAAAGAACAAATACGAGCTATACAGCGCGATACACCGGCCTTTGCAGTCCTCGAAGGTGTGAGTCCGGACAACGAAGAACCATAGCCATACATCAATTTTCGTGCGAAGATGCTGCAGTAATCTTGAGCTATCATCTGAAATCAATGCGCAAATGTTCGAGTGTATATCTAGTACTGCAGCACGTGACTTGTTAATTCATCGACTTTGTGGGATATTATCAATGACGTATGGCCTAGGGCACGAATACTCGTATATGCCAGACTAACACAAGGTACATGTAGGTTCGCGCCGAAGCGAATCTTGGCCGACCCTATCGTTAAGAAGACGAGGTAATGACCGATCACACGAGTAAACGAGACACCGAGATGACAGCAAAGCAGCAAGAACGCTCAGAACAAATACTGCGTGCAACGGGGCCAAGCCGGTCTACGGAATACAGCTGCGGGCTTTCGTTAATGTTCTAACATGGCACAACGTTCAATAAATGGTATAAAAGGCACTTCAACTTGCTGACCACACCCATTAATCAAGTCTCAGAGCCCGCCGACAGACTACGATCTGAGCACTTCTACACATATTCACAACTCTTCAATACGTCACAATGGTCTTCTTACCCGACTTCAGAAGCAAAGATGGCCTTCCAGTGGTTCCCATCTACATGAATGGATCACCTCAATCCTTTGACTCGGCAACCACCACCTTGTTCCCTGTCATCAACGCAGTATCTGATACCATCATCCACTACGCCGTCTCCGCTGCTCCTTCTTCCGCCATTGCGGCATGCGATGCAGCATCCGACGCCTTTCAGACATGGCGCAGGACCACTCCGACCTACCGTCGCACCCTGCTCGTCAGAGCAGCCGATGTCGTTGAAACCAAGATGCAAAAGATTATGCAGGCACAGATCAGCGAAACGAGCTGTCCTAACGAGTTTGCAGCTATCAATGTGAAAGGTGGTGTGGCGAACATGAGGGAGATCGCTGCTGCGACGAGCGAGCTGAGGGGTACGGTGCCGCAGAGGAGTACGCAGCCGGATGGTGAAGAGGTCGAGGGATTGACAATTGTGATTAGGGAGCCAGTTGGTGTTGTCCTTGTTATTCCGCCGTAAGTGCGCTATCTTAGTTGAATCAAGAAAAATCTAACGTGGTGCAGATGGAATGGTGCAGTCGTACTGCCCTTGCGGGCTATCAGTCAAGTGCTTGCTGCTGGATGCACAGTCGTGCTCAAGGCCTCTGAGCTCTGTCCGAAAACACACCACTTGCTAGTGCAGTGTTTTGAAGAAGCTGGCATCCCAAAGGGCGTTATCAATGTCATTCAAGCGAGACGTGAAGATGCCGCGGAAGTGACTGAAGCTGTCATTGCGCACAAAGCAGTAAGGAAAGTCGATTTCATTGGCAGTGGTGCAGTTGGAAGCCAAATCGGTCAAGTGTGCGCGAAGCATCTGAAGCCAATTTTGATGGAGCTTGGTGGTAAAGGGCCGGCGATCGTTCTCCAAGATGCGGACCTACATAAAGCAGCGTTCTTATGCGCTATGGGTGGTAAGCATCTCCATTCAAGTAAAGTAGTACATACTGACATCTTCAGCTGTTGCTGATCACGGCCAGCTCTGCTTTTCAACCGAGCGCATCATCGTACACAAGTCCGTCTACGACAAATTCATCGACGTCTTGAAAGCAACTTTCTCCAGGTTTCCCGCAGCTGGCGATGCAGTCTCGAAGCAGTCAGCGCAGCATGCATACGATGTTTTGGTCGATGCCAAAGAGAAAGGAGCTAATTTCCTCGTGGGTGGACCTGAGTTCTTGAGCGCAACCAGCCTCAAGCCTACCATCGTCACGAATGTGTCGTATCATGCTCGAGTTCGAGACGAAGAAACGTTTGGGCCATCGGTGTCGGTCTATGTCGCTAAGGATGACGACGATGCTATCGCAATCGCAAACGATTCCGCGTATGGATTAAGTGCGGCGGTGCATAGCGGAAGCTGGGAGCATGCGTACAAAGTTGCGAGGCAGCTTGAATATGGTCAGGTGTATATCAACAACATGACCACTGGAGATTCTCGTAAGTGTCTAGCTAGTGAGTTCTACACGCTTGGCTGATATTGGCTTGTAGCGGGCGCTCCTATCCGTGGTGTGAAGGGCTCCGGATGGGGCCAGTCGAACTCGATATGGGGCATCCATGAGTTCAGTGTTGAGAAGACTCTGGTGAGTTGAACTTGAACGGCATCAACATCATTGCTGGCTGATCGACCACACAGTATTTTGAGAGCGACGCTATGGCTATGTTACGTCCAAATTGAGAGTAAGATGACTGTATGTAGAAGCGAGCTCTAATTATGTGTTCTAGATGAATAATTGGGCAGCCTCTGATTGATCGATCATGGTTAGGTTGTGCTGTGCCGACATATATGCAGAGTCAAAGCGCATCTCTCTTGACTTGTACTCAATATCGAGAAATCGCACTCACATCGCGTACTGGTCTGACATTCCCAGATAAGTTCAGCAGCGTGAAAGTGTAAGGTCTTTGGAGACAATATTCTCTCCTGAAAGCCCAAGCACGCATATCCACATGTTGAGCACTGTTGATCGTATTTATGTGTGAACTTAACCGCGCAGGTCCGATGCAATACTTTCGTTTCCCAGCATGCCTTTCCGGCTTTCCCGCGAATTAGACGAAGTCCGGAGTGTAATGGAGGCGAGCCAGTCCTTGATCATCAATAGATTCTAGCAGGGTACAGTCCCACTGATCCACGAAAAGACTTCTCTTTGAGTTCGTGGAAGACGAGGCGGCAATGGTGAAAATGGCGTTGAAGTAGACTCCGGCCATTCTCCCTCACTCGATCTCCCAGTCGCTGGCGGAGTCTTGTATGATACTCAAGCTGTTGATCCACAGGAAGCGGACATTCAAGGCCCAACAAAGACGTTTCGCATCCTTGAAACAAACAGGCAGGTTGCTTCATGGAACGTTCGATGAAGTCGTCGTTAAGTACTCATCATCAGTACCCCAACAATATGTCAAAACCACGTATGGCCCAGCATAGCCTATTATCTGGGCTAGCCTTACATCATCAGGATTTCCGAAAAGATCGAGGACTCGTTTGGAAAGAACGTGATTGGCTGCAGCAAACAAGGAGTGTGACTCTGAGCGCACTCTTTCAACCATCTGTTGACCCATGACGCGGCATGCGCTACATCGATTTTGCCAGGTGTAGAGAGGTGGGATTCTGAACTAATCCATCCTGGGATTAGTCGATTACCGTTCGCGAGCGTTGAACTTCGCGATGATGCAATGTGTCAACACAGAAAGTCTGCATACAAGGCTACCACAACGCATTGAAGAAGACAACTGTCAATCTGGAGCTTAACTTGACTTCGCGTCAGCGACCTCTAGCAGATCCGTTTGCGCGCAAAGTACGCTATGGTATGTTGACAATCACTGCATCCCTCCACAAACGCGCATCTAATATGTTGCAACAGAATGCATTGTTCAACTCTGCCTTACGGCAGTCTACACAGATTCGCAAAGATCTAGACCAATTTGCCGATAGCGCAGCGCCCTCTCCACAATTGCAAGCCCAGCTCAACGCCTCTTTAGCGACCTTTACACGCACCATCGACGACTATGGCAAGCTTGCAAAGCAGGAACCAGTACAGACGAAACAGGAGAAAGCGTTCGAAAGGCTAAAGAACTTCCGGCGCGAGCTGGATGAGTATCGTGAAAGCTTCAAGCGGATAAAGAGCGTGAATGAGGAGATTGTATGTCTTAACCACTGCTTGGTTGATTATATCGAATGCTTGTAACTAAACAAGACTACAGCGAACGACCGAAGCACGCACAGAACTGCTAGGTCGCCGTCCGCATCACGCCGCTACACCAGAAAACCCTTACGCACAGTCCAACATCAACGCCAACGCCAACACACACTCGCCTTTCGCACCCTCACAGCCGTACAACGCCAATGCTCCATACCGACCGAACCCATATTCCGCCGGTACGCAACAGGGTGGCGACTACGATCGAGAAGGCCACGTGCTGCGCGAGAACACGTTCTTCAACCAGACATCGAACCAACTAGACGAATTCCTCGACCGGGGTCGAGCCGTGTTAGGAGACCTAGGGCAGCAAAGGGAGATGCTGAAGGGCACACAGAGGAAGCTGTATAGTGTCGCTAACACATTGGGCATCAGTGGTGATACCATTAGGATGGTAGAGCGGAGGGCGAAGCAGGACAAGTGGATCTTCTATGGCGGTGTGGTTATTTTCTTTGCGTTTTGCTGGTTGGTGATCTACTATCTGCGATGAGGCGATGGCAGAGAACAAAAGGAAAGATGAAAGCGCACCTGTGGGGTAACAGCCCTACTATCTTCTGATGCGGAGCATGTGTACACATTGTTAGGTTTAGCGAGGCGTATGGCGTACAGATGTCATGGCTAAAGCGTATCAAATTATTCTCCATGGCTGCTCGACAGTATTCTCAAGGAGCAGGGACTGAAGAGCGATTAGCTACACGATCAAGTAAGCACACGCGGTTCTTCTCAATACGAAGACTAAAAAGCTAAATGTTGCAGTCAAGTCGTTCTTTGATAACATAGAGTCGTTGATGCATCGTGCCGATGTGCAGGGAAGTCGCACTTACCTTACCTTACTAGCTTTGTTTACTCGGCATGGCAAGATTATCCCCACTCGCCAGCCTTCACACCCACCAATGTTGACATGAGAGAAGTAAGCACATTGCATTGTGTGTCGACTTGTTTATCTTCAGCAAAAACTGACAAGAATGTAATAGATACTCCTACACATCCAACCCTCCGATTCCTGAAAGAATAAGACCACGGATGAACAATGAAAGGTGCTCGCTCGCTGCATGCTCTCGTGCTCCGCCCAAACGTCAATCAATATGCCACGACGATCTGAGAATCAGACTCAGTCGATCCTTTAACAAGCGTCACTGCGAGACGGTATCGTCGAATCCTGGTCTACCTTCCGCCTAGCCCTGACCGTTGTTGCCTACTTAACAGCCACGTCGATGCCACTGAGCACTCAACCGAAACCACAAACTCCTTAACAACGATGCCTCAAATCGTCAACATCGCGTTGCAGTCTGGCCAACTCGAATGCTTGCATGTGCTGTTGCAAGTGAAGCGCATGTAGGTCATGTCTCGGACTTATCAGCGGAGAGTTGTAACCAGTGCGTGGGTACGGTGGCAAGTCAATGAAGCTTGGCCTTGAAAACGGCGGTACCGACAACCTTCGCACAGGGAAGTCGCCGGGCGCAATGAGCTGAAGTTGACTTCGTCCTTGGCTGTGGTCGTGGGGGACCCTTTCGTGAAACAACCTGAGTATGTCCGCGACCCATGAGTGGTGCGGACCAGGCCTTCGCCATTCTTCAAACATGGGTGGACCAAGGCTTGCAACTTGACGAAAAGCCTTGTGTAATTTGTCCTCAGGTACCAGACCCTCGAGTTGCTGCAGACCGAGACACCACTCAGTCAACAGAAACGATTTCTCTTCATCGACGATATCAGTTCCTTTCTTGCTAAAGAATCGTAGCAGGGCTCCAGCAAGCTCGTCCGAGTTGGTGCGACGCGCCACGTAGCAGAATACCAGAAATCGAGATCGGCTGCGATACAAGCCTTGACCTCCGTTCGACTCCAAGTCCTTGGTCAAGTTTCCCCTCATCCTGGTCACCAACTCATCTCCGCGATCGCCACCAAAATCGTACTCTTCCAACCTTGCTGCGTCTTTCAACTCACCCAGAAATTTTCTGATGTCAGCGTCCGAGAGGTAGATGCCGCAACGGCCCAGCTCGCGGTTGATGAAGTCCATCAGTTCTCCATTATCGATTTGATCGGCCCAGGCGTTCCAGTAACCGAAGTTCGGAAACGGGCGCGGCATCATTTTGAACTGTTCTTATGTGCGACAGATCGTTTGTTTCGGACGCCTGAAAGTTGGAGCGCGAACCAGTCCTGAGTTCTTTGTGAAAATTACCAAGTTGGCGGGTCAATTTGAAATTGTTTGATTTTGCTGATTGAAAGTCACAGGACGTTAACCTGAACAGTGCTGGCTGTCGGTTCTATATACGTTCCTATCGATCACTCAGCCCTTTTCGATGCGCTTTCGGCCGGCGATCGTCATTGGGTCGGGCACACCGGACTGGTGGCACCCAGGAAGTTTGCTCTTCAAAGTCGGTGAACCTTCGCAGATCATGAGCTGCCAATCAATGTTTGTCACCGGTTACCGTGGAATAAGTGCCACCCAACCATTCCTGTCGATATCTCGCCTTGATTATCCAGAGCATTCGACGAGTTTCAAACAGTGACAACCCGTCACTCTTCACAAGGATTACCCGGGCACAGTGCCTATCACGACCGGTTCATGGTCGTCCAGACATGACCCAACAGTTTGAGAGGCATGGACTAGACAGTATGCGGTATGCCGAACGGTTCGGTGGTATCGAATCTGGGCCCCTACAATGTTCACCATCAATGGAGAATCACATATGCCTTCTTTTACTGAATGGCCGTCGAAACATGACACCTCCAGTATTTTCACAAAAGATACGCAGTTTTTTCTGATCCTGAGTTTCGTTCCATCTCTCATGGTCAAGTGAACCGTGGAGGACTTGGCCTTTTGCGCGCAAGTCAGCTCCTCTCCGCTTTGAGATCCATGCTGCTGACGAACGAAGCACGTACAAAGCAATGGCAGGACTAGCACCTCGCGGTGTCCAAGGGCAGTGCATCATATCGTCGAGAGCTTCCAGTCAAGTCGATCGAGAGAGTGTACAGCAGGTTCACGCGACCAAGTTGTCGCCACTGCACTCAATTCCGCCGTACAGCACTGAGCACCAGCTGTGGGGTTCGGCTGATCAATCAGACCACCTCAGCCACAGAACGTGATGAGATATTATTCACATCACGTATCACCGCGAGATCACCAGACAAACAGTCGTGTCCACAAGCTGTGGTACCTTCCACAATCGTGTACCTTTGAATTGATTGATTGGTTCAATGTCCTATGTGAGTCTGAGACTATGGAAGACGAGAGGAGCAGTAGCTCCTCTGGTAATGCAAGGTTTAGTTACAGGAGTTTGGGGTCTATGAAAGTACAAGGGATGATGAGGGCTTTTGCCGTACGCAAAGCTGCTAGAAAATGAAAGTCTGCAAAACAAACAAACAGAGGAAAATACCTGCAGTGGTGCAGTGCTAGGGCATCCCTATGCCAGGTCTTCTGTGTGCTGTGCAAGATGCCATTTGCGTGTGCCCGCCTTGGTCTGCTGATGAAAATCAGAGTAGCCTTGATGTCTTCTTTTATGTGGAGAAGCAGAGGCATCAACTGCATTTCCCTAAACTATCCTGGAGGATTTTCCGATCTTGCTTGAGCCACTTGCAGCTCAAGAGGACGTGTGCTGGGTTCTGTTTGGCTCCACAGCTGCAGAATGGGTGGCCTGCTTTGCCAATCTGGAACAAGTATGCCTTGTTGTATCCATTGTGTACATATGAAAGTTAGGTTAAATACAGAAGGCTAGCACTAGTTGACTGCAATGATTGGTACGGGGGGTATCCTTCCCCATCCATCGAGGCGTCCACGATTGCGCCGATACCCGGTAGCCACATGGCTATGTAAGAAGATAGCGTCCTGCTTACACAATGTCTAGAAACTCCACCATAACATGCACACTCTGTAGCCTGCTAGACGCTATTTAGCAAGAAGCCAATGGGTCACAAGAACATTGGAAGCCTCACTTTGACGATTGGACAGCTATTGTCAATCACAATCAACAAACGGACAGCAACTCACCGACATCTCGAATAGCACAAGCGATACGGGAAGTCGCTTTGTGTCGGTAGGTGATTACGCATCACAATGGATTTGAGCAACGTAAGACTGCAGGCCAGTAGGGAGCGACATGATCAGAGACTAATACCATTATTCCCAAATAGCAACGAGCCTTCATCGGCGGTATCTAGAACCCATTTTGCGCAGAGAACACATTTCATGACTAAAGATGAGGTCGGCTTGGTAGTCTTTGTTAGCCCTTTTCTCACCTCCGTTCGCCCATTCTTGAGGGCGGCTACTTCACCTCGTCGACTGCAAGCCAGCAAAAATGTTCTACCCACCTATCTATACGTCTTAAACGCTCCTAGATAGTTTTTGCTCTCGAACTGTTGGTACGTAGTTGATTATGTCTCGATTCCAGTCGCTTTTTTCCTTGAGTGAGCGTCCTGTTCAATATTCGACACTCTTCACACCCAGACACATCCTCATGATGTGAAGAGAACAAAGAGAGTTGTACCTGCCATCCACGCACAAATCTTGTTCAGATCACGGAGCATGTCCGGCTAAACGGAATCTCGGGCCTCGTTTCCAACATCTGACATCCAACGTTCGTCCGACACATCCGCCCTTTGACTGTTGACGCCCTTTTGTCGACTCTATCACCTCTTGAGCTGAGCCACAATCTGTCTTGAGATCAAAGCTCACCAACATTGCAATTGAAACCGTGGAATTCTGCCTAAACATCGAGACAACATACAAGCACAAAAAACAGCAATAGCAAATCTACAAATATGATACTGGACAAGTCAGCCGCGCGAACATTTACATTCCACCATGCGGAGCTCGGCTCACTGACTGGTCTTGTTACACCAGACAATGTGGTCCAGTTTCGAGCTGTGCCATATGCCACGATCCCGGCACGCTTCAAAAGGTCAATTCTTTTGGGCAGCCTTCCAGAAAGCGACGGTGCTTATACAGAGCATGGGTATGTCTATACCAAGATCGTCTTCCCAAAAAATGTCTTACTGACACCGCCAGATATGCATGCCCTCAAACCTTCCCTCTCAGAGAAGCCGACGGCGGCCCTTTTCCCGGCGACCCAGTGGAACCAGCATCAGACGAATTCGAATGCCTCCTTCTCCAGCTCAACATACCTCTCGCCATCTTACATACTCCTTCTACCGCAAAGCTACCTGTCCTCGTATACATCCACGGCGGCGGTTTCGTCCTCGGCAAAATCGACGAGCAGCACAGCACAGCCCTCATGGTCGAGCAATCAATCCTCGACACCCAGCCCATCATTTCCGCAAGCATCCAGTACCGTGTCGGTGCACTTGGATACTTACAGACCCCTGAGCCTGGGAATGCGAATCTTGCTCTCAACGATCAACGGAATGCGCTGCGCTGGATTCAGAAGTTCATTGGCGGGTTTGGGGGCGATAAACAAAGAGTGACAGTGTTTGGAGAGTCGGCAGGTTCGATGTCGATTTGTGCGCATATGCTTTCGCCGCCGCCGACTGAGGGGCCGCTGTTCCAGAGGGCGGTTTTGATGTCGGGAATTATTGGGCCGGCGACTGTGCCTGTGCCGATTGAGGTGGCGGAGCAGCGGTATGAGGCTTTCTTAGCTAAGCTGGGTATCGAAGAGCGCGGGGATGCCGGATTACAGAAGCTGAGGGAGGTGGACATTGACACACTGGTGGCTGCGTCCACAGCGCTGGGTGATGAGGGCGGCCTGTGGCTGCCCGTCCAGGATAGAGAGTGGTTTGGTGAGGACGCGGCATCCGTGACTTGGGATAGGATTCCTGAGCTCATTGGGAAGTGCGAGTGGGTGAAGGATATCGTGCTGGGGTGTACAAGCTTCGAGGTAAGTCTCCTTCATACGCCAACAAAACTCCAGAAACTCACTTGCCGAACAGGGCACCACGATGATGTCTCGCTACGCCGGCATCACACCCTCGGCCTTCCTATCCAGCATCAAGACGCAGCTCGGCGCGCACAGTGCTGAGATCATCAGCCGCGCCTACGCCATCACGCCCACCATGGACCAAAACCTTTTTTTCACCCCTCTCCTCCGCTGGGTCGGCGACGCTATCTTCGATGCTCCAACGCACATGCTCGCTCAGTACCTCTCCACCAAGACTACCAAAAACGTCTACCGCTACATCTTCGACGTCCGCAACCCCTTCCCCAACCACGCCCTCTACCAACAGCCCCACCACTGGGTAGACATATACTTCGTCTTCAAAGCGCACCAATTCCGCTTTCCCTCCCAGCGACTCAAGGACATATCAACGCGGCACGCTCAACTCTGGATCAACTTCACTCACGGCAAAACACCGTGGGGCGAGTACAAATACACAGGCAAAGGGGACGAGGTGCTGATGGTCGTTGATGAGCGGGAGGGCTGGGTGGAGAGGAGTGCAGAAAGGGTGGAGAGGGATCTGGAGTGGGGATGGGGGAGGTGCGAGGAGCTTGTGAGTGCTTGGCAGGAAGGGGGGATGAAGGGGGAGTGGTGGAGTTGCTTGGAATTGGAATGTTTGAGCGGGGTGAAGAAGACGTGAGAGCTTGACTCGAACGTGATTGTTTTGGAATAGCACTGGTTACAATGTACACGGTGAGGTGATTGAATATGTGGCTACGAGTCTTTCAGCCCAGAGAGGGGTATGTAGCAGGACTCTTATATCCCTTCTTACCCACTGCTCTTACGCCGGAGATGACGTTGTCCTTGCTGAGGGGCAGAGTTGCGCTGCCTACTTTCCCTACGTCGAGCATATGCGTCCACAGCGGATTAATAACCAGCCGCCAAACAACCTCATGGCTCGCCACATTTGGATCCTGACTCACAACCCACTTCAACCCCCATCCTTATCCAACACCGTCGTATCAACAGTGGCATTCCTCGGCCACCTAGGTGCCTCGCTCATACTCCAGAGCGTTGCCAAGTTGACCTTACCAACGCGCGTAGTGAAGTCAAAGTCCACAAACTCAATCAAGTCGCCGTACACAGTCCCATTCTCAGTGCGCAGGTCCTGGTGCCGGTGTGCGAAGTTCTCATTCGGCTCGGTATATCGGATCGCGGGATGACCAGCTGCAAGGAAAGGGCGAGTGGTCGAGACGGTAGATGATGGCGACGTTCCGCGAGTTCCCACGTGGGACTGTCGTTTTCACCACCGATCTGCAGACGGCGCACTGCTACTGTCGTGTTCTCCGAGGGAGCAGGTCCTTGTGCAAAGGCGCGGATTGTGAAGGGGTCTTTCTGCCCACTATCGCCGGTCAAACTTCCAACGAGATCGCAACTGAGCATGCCTTCGACGTTGACGGAGGCATTGCGGAGCGCGTTGGCGAAGAAAGTGCTGCCGTAAAGGTTCTGCTCTTCACCAGCAAAGGCGCCGAGGATGATTGTTGACCTGGGCTGGCGGGTGGATAAGATGTGGGCGAGTTCCATAGCGATGGCTATGCCGGAAGCATCGTCGTTAGCACCAGGGACGTCGGCTTCATAGTTCAGCACGGCAGTAACACACGGGATCCTTTCAAGTCTCCCAATCCATCGCATCCTGAACATCGCTATTCTGCGGAACCTCTGTGTTCTCGACCGACTGCGCAGGCACGTCTGCATCCATGTCGTCGTCAGATCCGGAGAGATCAGACTTCGCACTATCACTGTGAATGCCAGAGGCATGGTTTTGCATAGCTGCATAGGTTCGAGGGTCTCGAACACGTAGTTCCACCACCCCGGTGAAATTGTGTTTTGTTTGCTGTGGGCTCCCAGACGCAGTCGACGATGCGTCCGAATCGGTATTGAGGCGGCTGGCAGGTGTCGTTTTGCGCGGTTGCTGATTAGCGGCAAATCTGGCAGACGGAACTGGAGTTTGGTGTTCTTCCCATGTTGCATGGTACTCCGTCCAATTGCGCCAGTCATCCGCACTCGTAACGAAGTTTTCCAGGCCATCATCGGAATCGACCTCGGATCCATCACCGTGGGGCGACTTCTGCTTAATTGTAGTAGTGAAGCCAAGGAGGTTACAGAGCGCTTCCTCCTCTCGTCGACTGGCTTCCTGGTCGAATTGTTCCAAAGTCTGTTTCCCGCGTACATGGTCTTGAGTCGCTTCTCCAGGCTCAGCACTCGAGGATCGATCGATAGAGTCTCGAATCTGGTGTTTCACAGAATCCGTGAGCTCCTCGTCTCTGTCATCAGATGATGCAGAATCGGACCCTGCAGCGTCATCCTCGGTTTCAACGTCCGAATCCGAGTTGGACAAAGAGAGATGTTCCATCGGAAGAGGCGTTCCGTGGCGAGCAGCTCTTTGTCTGAATGCTTTCTCGTCCTCCGAATCTGCAGCAGACCCAGTAGCACGCGCATCACTGGCTGATGGCGCAGTCACTGCATCATAGAGCCCCAAGATCTGCTCAGCTTGATCCCATGAGATCTCACGTTGCTTGATCTTGAACCTCGTGGTCCGTTGTTCGTCGAAGACTCGCACGTTACAACGCCTTGCAGCACCTGTCCACTGCGAACGCCCGTTTCTCTTCATCCCAAGGACGTCGATTGCGGACAGCACGTCTCTTGTCTTTACGAGAGGCATCACTCCTTTCTTTGTGCGGCGGCGCTGGGAGCGAAGACGCGAAGTGGCCTCTAGGATGGCTGTCTGCATCAAGCGTTTGGTCACGGAGACGGCAAGAGCGTGAAAGTCATTGAACGCTGTACGCAGGATTGAAGGCTCTGGTACTTGCTCGGAAGCATACGCGGACCAGTGGGGCCACGGCGACGGTAGGTCAGGCGAGCGATTCATGAACAGATCTTTCGAGAGGGAGAGCATGTTCTCGGCATGCAGCAAGCTGGCTTGGGGAATGGCTTGTAGTATCTGTGACTGGGCGGGGATACCTGGTTGAGGAGCTTGGTCTTGCGCCTCCTCCATTGTCGGTGCCTGCGGCGTAAGATCGACAGAGAGCACGTTTCGCTTGGAACGCTTGTACTTGCATGCCACCTTTCTCTTCAACCGTGCACAGTTGGTGCAAGGTACTTTGCGGTCGCAGCGTATCTTGTGATGCTTGCAGCGCACACAGGAGCTGTGCGCGAGTTAGCAGACGCCGACGTCAAGGTTGCGTGAACATACCCTGTAATGCCCGGACCCGCGTGCGGCGTGCCTGGCTCAGCTGGCGTCGTTGGACGAGTGGACGCAGCCCGAGAGGGGCCGTTTATTGCAGCTTCCATGTCTTCAGCTACAGCCGGCGTGATGAGCCAGTAGTCGCCGCAACGCTTCTGCTCCTCGGACACCTCCCACTGCTCCTGATACCAAGCCAGTGCTTCGGCCATGACGTCGAGCTCCTCTGTGCACTCTTGCCCGACTTCGATCGCCGCGGGGATGTCGCGCAACGTCATGCCCACGTCCCTGTGCTCGACGGCTGCATCTTCTAGCAGGAGCAGCAGCTCGCGTGTCTCGGTGACGGTCTTCGTGCCGATGGCCTGCGCTATGCCTGCAGCGTCGTCCCTGCCAAGCCTTCCGAGGGCCGCAAAGAGAGTCGCCTGCTCCTTGCCAGACCAGACGGACGCGCCATATTGTGTGGCATAGTGCTGCAGACCGTCGGTGGACTCAAAGCGGGCAGCTGCACGGCTCACGTCTCCGTTGAAGAGCACGCGGTAGGCATCGCTGTACTTGCCCTCGAGGTAGTACTTGCGGACACGGGAACGCTCAGCTGACTCGATTCGACGACGTTTGCGTCGAGTCCCTGGGGTGCGCGACTGTCGGCGGGAGGCTGCTCGAGCCTGCTGAGGCGCGTCGTTGGCACTCGAAAGCTCTTGGGCCGATTCGTCTCCCGAGCTCATCGTGGTCGTCGGGTGGACTTGCTCCGAGTGTTCGCCGGCGAGAGCACTTCGGTGTTCGGCAGTGTTTGCGGGGTGAATGCGGCCATGGTGAATGCTGGAAGGCACGCTGCAACCTGGAGGCAGTCGCGAGGCACTTTTTGGTGGGGCCAGTGGACCCTGGGCCTGGACTTGCCGCGGCGGGCGTCATCGAGCGCCATCGAGCGCCATCGAGCGCCATCGAGCGCGTCCAGTATCGTGACTTCGCGACCCCTTCGCTCCTGGGTTGGTATAGCTTCATGTTTCGCGTTCTTCGCCATGCGCCGAGACTTGGTAGGCAGACAGGCCTCGTGTCTGTCCGCACACCCGTCAGATACGCGTCAAGGGCGCGCAAACCTCCAGCAGCTCCTCCTCCCCCATTGCCACCGACAGCCGTTGCGCCGTCGAGGATACAGCTGCGCGAGTACCAGGAAGAATGCATTCAAGCAGTCCTCTCCTACTTGCAGGCAGGCCATAGGCGTCTCGGTGTCTCCCTCGCAACAGGCTCCGGTAAAACGGTCATCTTCACCCATCTGATTGACCGTATACCTGCCGTTCGTGATGCCACCCAGACCCTCATCCTTGCCCACCGCCGTGAACTGGTAGAGCAGGCTGCCCGCCACTGCACCCTTGCCTACCCGGACAAACACGTGGACATCGAAATGGGCAACAGCAGCGCCTCGGGTGCAGCAGACATCACCATCGCCTCTATCCAAAGCATAATGTCTGCGGACAGACTGCAGAAGTTTGATCCATCACGGTATAAGCTCGTGCTCGTAGATGAGGCACACCACATCGTCAGCTCGACCTACCTTGCAGTGCTGGAGCACTTTGGCCTGCGACATGCTTCCGACTGGAGTGGAAGCCATGTTCCTGCCTTGGTCGGAGTGTCTGCCACATTTTCTCGATTCGACGGCAGGAAGTTGGGCTCGGTCATCGATCACATTGTCTACCATCGGTACGTGCGTTCCTCATACTCGTCAGCGTCTTTCCTAACAGGTGCAGCGATTATGTCGACATGATTGAAGAGAATTGGCTCTCTGATGTCATTTTCACCACGGTGGAGATGAAAGCTGACCTGACCAAAGTCGGCTCTGGCGCCAACGGCGACTTCCAGACTGCGGCTCTGTCGAACGCAATCAACACCACAGAGACCAACGAGCTCGTCGTCAAGGCGTGGTCAGCAAAGGCGAAAGGCCGCAATTCGACACTCATATTCTGTGTTGATTTGAGTCACGTCACGAACCTGACGACTAAGTTCCGGGAATATGGCATCGATGCACAATTCGTGACTGGCGACACACCGCCAAAGATCCGCAGCGCCAGAGTAGACTCGTTTCGAAACGGCGAGTTCCCCGTACTCCTCAATTGTGGCGTGTTCACAGAGGGTACGGACATTCCAAATATCGACTGCGTGCTCCTGGCACGCCCGACCAAGTCGCGCAATTTGCTCGTGCAGATGATCGGACGAGGCATGCGTCTGCACAAGGGCAAGAATAACTGTCACATCATCGACATGGTTGCTGCACTAAGCACCGGTGTTGTGTCCACGCCGACATTGTTTGGGCTCGACCCTGGCGAGATGGTCGAGCAGGCGGACTCAAAGAGTATGGCTGAACTGAAGGAGAGAAAGGAGACCGAGAAGCGGCGCCAGCAAGAAGCCGCTGCTCTGAAACAACGGACCCTGTCGAAGAAGCTGCCTGGCGCCATCACCTTCACTGACTACGATTCTGTCCACGATCTCATCGCAGATACGAGCGGTGATCAGTACATCCGCAACCTCAGCCAATATGCATGGGTTGGCGCTGGAGAAGGCAGATTCATACTCACCACCAACAGTGGTAACTACATCATCATCGAGCCCTCCGATACAGCAGAAGGCTGCTTCCGCGCCAAGTACTACCGGAGGCTGCCTCGGACTGAAACCATAAAGAGTCCCTATGCTGCTCCTCGGGTCATCGCAGAAGGCGATTCTTTCGAACATGTCGTGCACGCTGCCGATACATACGCAAAAGGCGTCTTCGAGCACATGTGGATTGCGAAAAACATGCCATGGCGCAGGAGCCCAGCTTCACAAGCCCAGGTTGAGTTTCTCAACAAGACACGGCCCAAGGAGGATCAGCTGAAGCCTTCCGATCTAACAAAGGGCAAGGCAGGCGACATGATCACAAGGCTCAAGCATGGAGTCAAAGGTCGATACGCCAGGGCTTCCTCGAAACAACGTAGTGAGGTGCGGACAAGAGAGCGCGCTCAGACCTTGCAAGAGAAACTCTCCGGTCAGGTTCGGGTAGGGCCTCTGTCACACGTCTGAAGCATCGTACACGCGTCTTCTCGTTGAATTAGCTGCCTGACTCTGCACGCTCAGTCACTGTCGATCGGAGACCTCTGCTGAGTAGGTATAGCAGAATCAGTGGCAGTTTAGCACCAACCGCACCGAGACCGGCTTGATCGCACAGGGTTCCACGTTGACGATTCCGTCAGCAGTGCTTTGGGGCTGTGTACATGAGTTGAAGATACTCACGCAAGTGGCTGCTGATCACAACGCCCATCGTCTTTCGACTTGACCAAGCGTGTCTGGGCAGCAAGCGATGTACACCTCCATCGGCTTCCTCAATTTTGCGTGTTATTGTCGTACACGGACCGGTGAACGAACTATGTTTGGCTGTCCACTACCGTAACCAACCTGATGTCGTTCTAATCTTCTGACCAACTTGGCATCAAGAAGGTTATTGCACCACCAGTTTGGTGTTGTTGATCGCGATACTTCCGGTGCACAGGCAACGTGGTCAAGGCGCCTTGTAGCCGGCGCTTGTTGGTACCCGCGAACACCCGCGGGGAAACATCGACGTTCAGCGCAACTTCGCTTCAAGCAGATCACGTCGTTCCACACAACATCCAACGTCTTATCGTTCGACCCATCTCGACCTCGGCTGCCATGCGCTACCGTGACGGACGTGCGAGACTTCTCCGTAGCACCAAAGCAGTGTGAAAGCCCATCAGCCGCCATAACGAGTGCGCCAGCCCAAGAAGTACGAGGATGAGACGACAGTCGCACAACCGCTTCGCACTATAAGCGCTAGGGTTGCACTCAGTCGCGAGGTTGTGAACCGCCGTGAGGAAGTTTCAGGAGTTGCTCCATCACTCGACGTTCAGGGAAGGGAGGCCTGCAGTTCAAGTATCTCCGCTGAGTGCCTTCAACTTTCATCTGGAATCTGGACCCCCACATGGCCATGAAAGTCAAGGCGCCAAGAACGCTGGTAGCTACATGCGCAACGACCAGGGGCGCTCGCCACACTTCTCGGGCACTAGGCCTGAAACGGTACCAAAGATAAGGATGCATGCCAACCACAGATCAACATACAAAATTGCATTTCTCCAGGTCTTGCTATCTGACACGATGCCGGCATGCGGGATTTGACAATTCGATTTGTGCCCGCGGAGACTCAGTGTCTGTGATCTTGAAACTAGTCGTGGCTTCTCCGCGATCTCGGGTGCTAGAGGACATGATTGAGAAAATGACGAGAGCCGGTGTGTCTAGTCTTACGGTAGGACGATCTGACGACCCTGAGCATCTGTGGTCTCCAGTGATCTCGGTCCAACGCCGTCTGTTACATTTGACTCAATTCTATTCGACGTAGATCTTCCATTCTCGTCTTCTATCTTCATCTTGATATCACTGCAGCGTCTCGCGAGCAACTCTCCACAGACCTCCTTCGCGCGCACAACACTTCCACTGCATGCTTTGTGTTTGATTCTCCGCTCTACACCCATCTTGTATCTTATCAATTTCTTCTTTACAGCACACCATGAGCGAAGCAGCCCAACAAGCGGGAGTCCCTCTTCCTCCACCAACAGAGATTCAGCTCAAAGCACAGGCAGCATCCGTGCCCGTACAATTGCCACCGACACCACCAGAAACAGACTTCGACAGTGATGACAGCAAATCAACAACGTCCACAGCACCAACAGAGCTTGACATCCCTCTACCGCCACCTTCACAGCAGCAACAGGTCCTGGACGTTGATAAGCCAACGCCCGATGCACATGTTCCCAGAGACCCAAGACTCATCCGACTGACGGGTGTGCATCCTTTCAACGTCGAAGCCCCGCTTAGCGACTTGTACAATGAAGGCTTTCTGACAAGTCCGGACTTGTTCTACGTACGAAACCACGGAGCTGTTCCTGAGGTTCAGGACTCGGAGTGTCTGGACTGGGAGTTCTCAGTCGAAGGGTATGTCTGAATAGCAACCTCCACGACAAGTTTCTAACGGAGTATAGTCTCGTCCAGAATCCCTTGAAGATCACATTACGTGATCTGTTGCAAGAGTACGAGAATGTAACATATCCAATCACATTAGTCTGTGCAGGAAATAGGCGAAAGGAGCAGAACGTAGTACGAAAGAGCAAGGGATTCTCGTGGGGCGCAGCTGGTGTGTCCACGGCACTCTTCACAGGTGTTGTTATGAAAGATGTCATCGAGCGTGCAAAGCCTCTGCGAAAGGCCAAGTATGTGTGCATGGAGGGTGCAGACAAACTAGTAAGTAGTTTGCTAGTGGTGCCAACACCATCACTAACAGGGGCATAGCCGAACGGGTACTATGGCACATCTGTCAAGCTGAACTGGGTCATGGACCCGAACAGAGCCATCATGCTCGCTCACAAGATGAACGGCGAGCCGCTAACACCTGATCACGGAAAGCCACTGCGAGCAGTCATTCCCGGACAGATTGGTGGGAGAAGTGTGAAATGGATCAAAAGACTGATCGTCACGGCTGAGCCTAGCGACAACTGGTATCACATTTACGACAACAGAGTACTGCCCACCATGATCGACCCAGATGAGTCGGCAAAGAACCCCCAATGGTGGATGGACGAACGCTACGCTATCTACGATCTTTCGCCCAACGCGGCCATTGCCTTTCCCGCGCATGAGGAGAAGCTAAGTATAGCATCGGCGCCGGAAACCTACAACGTTCGAGGCTACGCCTACAGCGGTGGTGGGCGCCGTGTCACCCGCTGCGAAGTATCCCTAGATAAGGGCAAGACGTGGCGGCTCGCCAACATCGACTACGCAGAGGACCGATACCGCGCATATGAAGATAAGAACCTCTTCGGCGGACGCCTTGACATGGACTGGCGAGAAGCCTCCTTCTGCTGGTGTTTCTGGAACCTCGACATCGCCACCAGCGAATTGAAGGACACCAGCGACATCCTCATCAGAGCCATGGACGAAGCCATGTGCATCATGCCGCGCGACATGTACTGGAGCGTACTTGGTATGTTGAATAATCCTTGGTACCGCATCGCCATCCACAACGAGCACGGCACATTGCGCTTCGAGCACCCTACACAACCCGCCCTCATTCCCGGTGGCTGGATGGAGCGCGTCAAGAAGTCGGGCGGCAATCTGAGCAACGGGCACTGGGGCGAGGCTATCGCTGGCGAGGAGCCCGAGTCCGCCGCAATCGAGGAGGTAAAAGAGATCAAAATGACCAAGGACGGTGTTGACAAGATCATCGAGCTTGATGAGCTGAAACAACACGATAAGGCTGAGAATTCGTGGTTCGTAGTCAATGGCGAAGTCTACGACGGCACGCCCTTCCTAGAAGGCCACCCCGGCGGCGCACAAAGCATCATCAGCGCCGCTGCACTCGACGCTACAGACGAATTCATGGCCATCCACAGTGAGACCGCCAAAGCCATGATGCCGGACTATCACATCGGCACTCTCTCCCCTGAGTCACGCAAGACCCTCGAATCCGGCGAACCAACACTAGAATCCACCGAGCTCCAGCCCGTATTCCTCAACCCTCGCGTCTGGCAAAAAGCCCTTCTGTATTCGAAGAAGAGTGTGAGCTGGGATACGAGAATCTTTACCTTCAAGCTCGATTACGATGAACAGCAACTCGGTTTGCCAACAGGCCAACACTTGATGATCCGCCTGCGCGACCCGGTAACCCGCGAAGCCATCATCCGCTCATATACACCCATCTCCGAAACCAGCAAGACAGGCTACATCGACATCCTGATCAAGGTTTATGGCGACGTACCTGCTACTGCTGACACGCCGGCGAAGGTTGGCGGCAAGATGACCAGAGCGCTGGATGCGATTCCCACGGGGCATTGGGTTGATATGAAAGGGCCTATTGGTAAGTTTGAGTATCTGGGTAGGGGGAAGTGTAGCATCAACGGCAACTCCAGGAGTGTAAAGAAGTTCATCATGATATGCGGCGGCAGCGGTATAACGCCGATCTTCCAGGTCCTGCGCGCTGTCATGCAGGACAAATCCGATCCTACGACTTGTACACTTCTCAACGGCAACAGGCTCATCGAGGACATCCTATGCAAAGAGGATCTGGATGCTTTTCAAAGGAGGAACGAGGATAGGTGCGAGATACTCTACACCTTGACGCAGGGACCGGAGGATTGGCAGGGGTTGAGGGGTAGGATTGCGGGACCGCTGCTCGAGAAGCACTGCACGCAGGCGGAGAAGGGGGATACAATGCTTTTGGTGTGTGGGCCGGAGCCGCTTGAGAAGAGCGTTAAGAGTTGGTTGTTGGGCAATGGGTGGGCGGAGGAGGATTTGCTCTTCTTCTAGGTGGGGATCTGGAAGAACTGAATTTCGGTTTGCAGATGAAGAATGGCGTTTTGTCATGTTTATCTTGGGATGTTCGAAGGCGTATGCCTGGGCTACATGGGCATTCATCAAACTATCACGAAGTCATATACTATGGTATGGCAACGAAGGTTTTCTTCGATCTGAATCTAGATGATCTCATTATTATGCGAAAAGACAGATTTATCTACCTTTAAAATGATACATCAGGTTCGACATACTACTTCAATCATGATGCTACACTCGTTTTGCTTCTAGGAGCAGTGTAGGACTTTCGTATCCAACCTTGGAACGCCAACTGCTCTCCCGTCCGAATGAGGCTAGCGTCCATTGATGTTATTTTAGGGTCCAAACCTTCATCCCCATCTCTTTTCTTCTCTTCCAGCTTGCACACCTCTATCGCGTCCAATGCCCGCAATGTCGCGCATCTCGATCTTCCTTGAATGAACGCAACAAAGGCGTCTGCCGGAGTCTCGAGGCTTGGAACACGCATCTCCGCTGTTGTGATCTTATCAGGACGTTGCGCGACCCACGCTCCTGGATCCACCAAAACCTCGCGTTCTTATCAAAGATGCGTCCGTGCACGCTCCACTATCAGCGCATCGTTTCCCTTCCTTGATGCTGCGTCTCCGTGGAAATCGCAAGCGTTGTTTGATTCAATTGTCAAGTTTCTGATTCGGCCATGAGGATCCTGGTATCACGCCTCTGACGACAGCCTCTTGTCCCGCTGCGGTGGAGGGGCTAGAGAATGAGATTAGGCACTTTACAATACATTTCCGATGCCCGCCGCGGGGTATACTTTAGACCCAGTTGATTGGCAGATAGAGCCTGCTGTCATAGATGTTCGCGGTCTATCTCCAGTGCGCTTGTGGCGCAAGCCCGGCGCGGGACATCGCGTTGTTGAAGCGTGAGGTGATGGATCTACGCCAGTGCTACGGGCGAACTCGTGCCACGGAGTTGTCTTGCGCTGAGTATCAATTGCTGAGCGGCCTATCACGGTATTACTTTTACACAACTACGCTGCGCTTGGGGTCTAGTTTGAGGACTGTATCTCTCCACATCTTTCGACTTCAAGCTTTCTTCGCACTTTCTGTCTTCTTTTCTCTTCTACCATATACCCATTCAGTGTTTTGAAGACGATCTTGAGTCGCAAGCATTTTATATGCTTTGAACCATCACGTCTTTACCTAGTTCGGAATACAGACTAGGTGCGGTCTTTGCGACCAAAAGATACCCAACTCAATACAGCCTCGCACATTCACATCAGCCAAGATGGATACAGAACCAGCAGCAATTATCACACAGGGACTCGACCCCAAGTCCGGGACATCACATTCGGAATCAGAATCGCCCGTTCACGGCACATGGGGATCGAAAGACGGCAACATCTCGAACAGCGAGTGGAACGACCCTGAAGCGAACAAGCTACCTGAGAAGGTAAAGGAGCTGGAGGAGAAGGGTGAGATCAATGACACACCACAACAAGCAAGGAAGAAGGTGGTGGTTGTGGGATTGGGAATGGTGGGCATTGCATTTATGTAAGTGCTGCAACTTCAGAACGATCTCGGTTTGAAGGTCAGGTGGCTGACCAGATTGCAGCGAGAAACTCATGAAGTACGATGTGAAGCGGAGAGAATACGATATCGTAGTCATTGGCGAAGAGCCACACCTGGCCTACAACCGCGTCGGGCTGACGAGTTTCTTTCAGCACCGACAAGTCGAGAACCTGTATCTGAACCCGAAGGAATGGTATTTATCCATGCCCGAAGGCTCTCTGAACTACCATCTCAACACTCTTGTCACTGAGATCAACCCCGCAAACAAGAACGTCAAGACATCATCCGGCGAGACAGTATCATACGACCTCCTCGTGCTCGCATCAGGTTCCGACGCACTGCTTCCCCGACACACACCCGGCCACGATGCGGAAGGTGTCTTTGTCTACCGCACAATCGACGACTTGCAGCGACTCATCGAGTTCTCGGCGACACGCAAAGGTACAGCAGGTGCCGTTGTAGGTGGCGGTCTGCTAGGTCTCGAGGCCGCGCACGCCATGATGGATCTCGAGAACTTCGCACAAGTCAAGCTAATCGAGCGAAACCGGTGGGTGCTCTCGCGGCAGCTGGACGGCGATGCAGGTTCCATGGTTGTAGAGCAGGTCCGCGCTATGGGTCTGGATGTTATGTTGAGCAAGAGAGTCGGCAAGATTCTGACTACTGAGAAGAACGCCGTACGCGGTGTCGTGTTCGAGGATGGTGAAGAGATGGAATGCTCGTGTATTTGCTTTGCAATCGGTATCAAAGCGCGTGATGAGCTTGCTCGTAAGGCCTCCATCAAGTGTGCAGATCGCGGTGGCGGTATCATCGTCAACGACGACCTGTCCACTTCTGCATCGGATGTCTATGCTATTGGCGAGTGTGCAAGCTGGGAGAACCAGACGTTCGGTCTCATCGCACCCGGCGTTGAGATGGCCGACGTCCTCGCCTTCAACCTCACACAAGCGAAAGCACACGCACCACGCAAATTCAAGCGTCCAGACCTGAGCACAAAGCTCAAGTTGCTTGGCGTCGAGGTTGCAAGTTTCGGTGACTTCTTCGCGGATCGCGATGGGCCTAAGGATATGCCTGGACGCCAGAAGCCGGTGAAGAAAGAGGTGGATAAAGTCAAGAACCTTACAAGTGGACCGGCCGCACCACCGGTCAAGGCGCTGGTATACAAGGATCCGTTCCAGCAGGTGTACAAGAAGTATTTGTTCACCATGGACGGCAAGTACCTGCTCGGAGGTATGATGATCGGCGACACGAAGGACTACATTAAGCTGGCGCCGATGGTCAAGAACCAGAAACCACTGGAGATCCCTCCGGCTGAGCTCATCATTGGAGCATCGAAGGGTGGCGATGATGATGGCTCCGACCTGTCCGGCGACACACAGATCTGCTCTTGCCACAATGTCACCAAGGACGATGTCGTCAACGCAGTCAAGGACGGGACGTGCAAATCCATCGGTGATGTCAAGTCTTGCACAAAAGCTGGTACCGGATGTGGTGGCTGCATGCCTCTTGTGCAGACTATCTTCAACAAAACCATGGCATCCATGGGCAACGAAGTCAAGAATCACCTGTGCCCACACTTCGAGTACTCACGCGCAGACCTTTTCAATATCATTTACGTCAAGGGTCTCAAAGACTTTGACGCCGTTATGAGGGAGTGCGGTCGCGAGCCCGAGTCTGCTGGATGCGAGGCGTGCAAGCCTGCTATTGGATCCATCATTGCATCGCTCTTCAACAAGCACCTGCTTGACGTTGAGAGGCGAGGCCTGCAAGAAACGAACGATAGATTTTTGGCTAACATCCAGCGCAACGGCACCTTCTCAGTCGTACCGCGAGTTTCTGGCGGGGAGATTACACCCGAGAAGCTCATCATCATCGGCACAGTGGCGAAGAAGTACAACCTCTACACAAAGATCACCGGTGGTCAGCGTATCGATATGTTCGGTGCTCGGAAACAGGATCTTCCTGATATCTGGCAGGAGCTGGTCGATGGCGGCATGGAGTCTGGACACGCGTACGCCAAGTCACTGCGCACCGTGAAGTCGTGCGTTGGAACCACATGGTGCCGATTCGGTATCGGCGACAGTGTCGGTATGGCGGTCCGTCTGGAGGAGCGCTACAAGTCCATCCGCGGCCCCCACAAGTTTAAGGGCGGAGTCTCAGGCTGCGTCCGCGAGTGCGCCGAAGCACAAAACAAGGACTTCGGACTCATCGCCACCGAGAAGGGCTTCAACATCTTCGTCGGCGGTAACGGTGGCGCAAAACCTCGTCACTCAGAACTTCTGGCCAAAGATGTACCGCCAGACGACGTTGTACCCATCCTCGACCGCTACCTCTCCTTCTACATCCGCACAGCCGACAAGCTCCAACGCACAGCGCGCTGGATGGAGAACTTGCCCGGCGGCATCAAGTATTTGCAAGAAGTCATTCTCGAGGACAAACTCGGGATCTGCGCGGACCTCGAGAAGCAAATGGAAGACCTCGTCGGCTCTTTCTTCTGCGAATGGACCGAAGTCCTCAAAGACCCCAAGAAGAAAGCCTGGTTCAACCAGTTCGCCAATACTTCCGAGAACATCATCGACACCATCGAACCGACCCAAGAGCGCGGTCAAGAGCGACCCTCCTACTGGCCCAAGGACAGTGTCACAGAGGACTTCCGCGGCCACAAGTGGACCGAACTCAGCTGGCAGCCAATGCTCAAGGCCGAGGAGCTCAAGGACGCGCCGACGGGCGACTCCAAGGCGCTGAAGCGCGGCGACACGCAGCTTGCTATCTTCAAAGTCCGCGGCAAATACTACTGCACGCAGCAAATGTGTCCGCACAAGCGCGCATTTGTGCTGTCCGATGGTTTGATCGGAGATGATATCAAGAACAACAAACTCTGGGTCTCGTGTCCGAACCACAAGCGCAATTTTGAACTCTCGGGCGAGCAGGCGGGGCGGTGTGCGAATGATGAGAGTGTTAATATTGCGACGTTTCCGGTCGAGGAGAGGGATGATGGGTGGTTGTATGTTAAGCTGCCGAGTGTTGAGGAGCTGGATAGTGTGCTGGGAACGGAGAAGTTCAAGATCAAGAAGAGTGAGACGGAGGATCCGTTTGTCGCTTTGGACAAGAAGCTCGAGCGCATGAAGCTCAAGGGCAGGAAGGGGATGCAGGTCAGCCACCTGGATAACGGGTTGGGCGAGAAGGGCAAGGCGAGTATGATCCTTGCTGGTGGTGAGAGGGGAGCTGGTGGTTTGGATTGGTAGACGATAGAAAGGAGGTGTATATGATGGCATTGAGTTCGGCGTTAGATTGGATTGTTAGATTCCCACGGTGTTGTTGAATGGAAATGCACATACACATCGAACGAATACAAATATGTTGTCTTCCGACTTGTCGTCTGATCTTGCCTTGCTGTTCAGTCTTTGTTTGGATTACAAGAACGTGGATAGATCTACAGGATCTCCTTCTATCAGCGGCTGTATGAGCACGGATGCGAGGAGTGCGAGAATTCTGCGTCCTAAGTATTTAAACTCATGTCAACAGTGAGGAACCGATGAGGCAACCACTACCCTCGGTCAGCAAAAAAGAGTTTGAATTGCTACCTCACTCATAATGCGCAGCTCCTAAGTCAACAAAATGCAACTGGATTGCTACTCACCTGCCCCTGTAAAATATTACGGTTGGCATACACTGTGATTCACTTACAGTAGCATCACCACGTGCACTGCCTTCGGTGAAGGAAGTGGTCACCTATTTTGGCCACGCTAGCGCTAGCGCGAGGGTCTGGAAAGGGCGGTCCTCAGCCTTCAACCACCACCAGTTCTCTTCTCACTTACTGCATCAAGGATCGACAAGCGAAACGCCTTCCACATGGCATTCTGCTTTGTAATACATACGATCGCGGAGTGACTCACCCAGATTGAGTGCGTTAGTTGGACGGAATGGCTCACCGCGGATAGGGCTGAGTAAGTTGACGCGTCCTGACTGCACGCGCGATGAGCCACGCGCAACAACAGGTGGGAACGATGCGATGTGACTAAAGCAGCGTCCCGTCATGCCGCACCTCGCGGTAGTGATGAGTCGAGAGGTACCTTAGGCATGGTAGGTATAAGGTCGAGTATCCAGACGCCCTTTCCACATTCCCATCGAAACATCAAGTCTTACATCTCTACCTGCTTCAAGACCTGTCATCTATAGTTGATGAGGGCTTACCCCATCACACTACTCGATCAAACCATTTACATCTCCGATAACCGGACAATGCACGCTGCAACACCGACTGCACATCACCTTACAACATCAACCTTGACAACCTCATATCGGCCAAGCATGGACTCAAAATCAGAGAAGGACGCCATGTCTATCAAGTCCACATCAACGGTGAGATCGACGACGTCACTATTGCGATCACTTCTACCATCAAAGCGAACAAAGACTGCAAAACCACCGAGGCCGACCGAGACACCAGCACAGAAGGCGAAGAGAAAGCACATCGAGGCGGAAGCCAGGCTGGCTTGGATGTTGAGTCGGTGAAAAGCAAGCAAGATTCCAATTGTGGGTAATTATCTGGGAGTCTGGAGTTTGGTCTGGTAGAGTTAAGAGGCTCTTAGCATGAATGAACCTTGCTACGACGTTGTCACCAACTCGTATTCATACTGCGTCGCTATAGTGTCACAGTCTCTCTGCTCTCGATCTTCAGCAGCTTTGGGCAAAAGAGTATTTCTTTACAGTTGCTCATGTGCTTGCTTCCGTTTGTCACTGCGTAACAAATGTGTCTCACTCACCGCGGCTCTGAAGACCTTCGTCTCCATTTCAGGTGGGGCAGCAGTGACCTTTGAGCAAGGACAATATCCAGATCAACGGAGACGAAGACCAACTTCCCGACTATGACCACGAACCAGGTAAATACCCTGACAGGTGAGAGGACGTTGCCGATCCGCCATATCGTGGGTACGGAAGGTGCAGGTGAGAGAAGCCAGGTCACTAGCGCTTCCTAAATCAAGTAGCTTCTTCTTCCGACAACAAAGGTAAGTCCATCTATCACCAACGCACCTTCCTCGACTGATACACAAAGACGATCGCTTATCTCCACTTCCACTCCCTCAAAACACGTCGACGAGTCAACTCATTCCAAAGGATCAGCAAAGCCAGCGATTCCTCAACATGACGAACCAATACACTTCCATCGACACCTTCAAGCGCGCCCGCGAGCTCAAAGCCTCAGCTTTGCAGAACATTTCCATCCTGAAACCTATACCTTCTTCATTTGACGAACGCCCTACAGCCGCCACCTTCGAAGACACGCTCATCAGGACCCTCCGCGCCGAAGGCAAACCCTGGGCCGACATCAACGCCTACCTCAATGAGCGTCGCGTGTCCAACAAGGAAGCACCAACCTGGACCGAAGCCGCCGTGTACTCGCGCTTCATCCTTAACAGCTCTACGATCGCGACGCCGGCAAAGGAGATTGGCTTCGAGCCGCGCGACTACGCACATCTGAGGAATGCGGGGAGTGGACGCGAGGGTACGAGTAAGGCAGGCAAGAAGCGCGTGAAAGACTTCCAGAATGCGACAGAGTTGAGTGCGAATATCCGGAAGCCCGCCGTGCTTGCAGGGGCAGACGACGAACGTGTCGAGGAGAGGACTGATTTAAAGGTCAAAGGCAAGGGCAAAGTTAGGAGCAGAAGTAAGAGCAAGGGCAAGGATGAGGATAGGAGGAAGGGCGAATCGGAGGAAGGGATTGTCAAAATGGATGAGGGGATGGTTGAGGTGCTGATGCGCGCTGTGGCTAAAGTGGAGAGGAGCTTCTGGGTGTTCGTGGCTGATGAGGTAGAGAGGGAGGGCGGGAAGTACATTGAGCCGAAGGAGTTGGAGAAGATATTCCATGACATCTGAGCTTCGCTCTTCGCTGCCGAGAATGCAGCAAATAGTCTGTGGCCATCCACTAGCCTTGCTACATGGCGAATGCTTATTTGACTTCAGAGATCCGAGGTCTCGGGAAGTGACACCGGCGGTGTCTTCACCTCACAAAGACTACTCTACGGATGACTCCACATTGTAAAAGCTGACATATGAATGGATATTGGCTTTGTAAGAAGGATACACCACATTCACTACCGGCATGTACTTCTACCCTGGGGTTCTGTGCATTACCTAAAGAGCACTCACACTGGCCCACCGTGAATCAAAGATATTAACCTCAGATTGCTCCTTATCATCAAACAGCTCCAACGGCCCGGATGAAAGTGATCTCAAGCCAGTGCGATTCTATCAAAAGACACAGCGAAAGTTTCGTCAAAGCTGCCAAAGAGAAGGAAAATCGTTGCCTCAAGAATATAGAAGAGACATCTGGGAATGATGCAGAAAAGTCAGAACCTGACAGGAGGCAAGGCAAAAACGCGCGAGAGTTGAAGGTTAAGTCTTGCTCAATCTTGGATACAATGCTTTAGTCACTTATCCACAGTAGGAAGCGAATCACAGTGGCTACATTGAGCGTAATCTCATGTGAAATACGAACTCCACGCTCACTGCTTTGTTGGCATTGCGTTGTTATCGCGTTGGTGAAGTGTCCATCCACATCAAACACGAGGAGACTGTAGCTAGACTGATAATCTTGAACACTGATATATATCATTCAGTTTCGCAAGCACAACGTTCTTGAGGATCTCGAAGCTTTTTTCTGTTGATTCGCAATGGCCTACTCTCCCAGAAGTAACGCATTCACATATACACAGCAAAACTTCCACACTTTGTCAGCACTGACATTGGGTCGGACACGAGAGATGTACGACTGGGAGTACGTTTGTGACTCTATGATGCATGACATACGTATTATGGCAGATCATATGAAGATGATGAGGTTGGAGTGGGCTCGGCAAATGCTTGAAAGGCAGAGGCGTGTGCAGCAGGGAGAAGCCAGTGAGATAGCGGTGACTGGAGCAGAGGTCGAAGCGGGATCTGCAAAGGATGGCTTGTGACATGTGCATGCATTCGCAAATCTTATAATAAATGCTCTCATTGTGCCTTAGGCTCTTTGTATTTCCATGGTTGCGGGGCACATACTACCAGACCCGATTACAGTTTTGGTTACGCGAACGAGTACAGATCGTGGGTTGTGACACTATTCTGTCTTGCTCAAAGGCCTCGGTGAAACCCAGCGATGCGGTTTACCGTGTTGATGAGTTGTTTGCCGTGCTAGTGGCAACGTGACTACCAGTCTCCACATCTGCGTTACCGGCGGATACAACGTAGCACTGTAGCACAGCTCATCGTGCGGCCATGTGCAGGACCCGGATGAATTTTTTGCAGTGTCAAGGTACTATGAAGGATGTGAGCTGATTGTCATTACTATGATGTCTTCGTCCTGGAACATAAGGTTTATGAGAATTGTATCGTCGTCTCTGGGCTTTCCTTCGAGCATCGTCTGCAGCAACGCGCAGAGTAAGCGCTGTGTGCGCTACACAGCTATTTGACTTCGTCATAAACACCCGTAGTGAATGCCAGCGGATCACTCTAGTTGCCGATGTCTAGAACAAATACGGTAAGAATGCCGATAGCAGCTAGCAGGTCGCCAGCAAGATTGAGCGTTGATGTGCGAACGACGCTGGACTAACGAAGCAGTGGTCGAGTACTAGGCTACGTAGCGCTTGTATGCTGGACACGTGTAACTGCCAACTCGCTGCTTCCGCTCACCACGAAAACCTTTATAGATAGCTGGGGGGCCATAAATGCACCTGCCAGACGGTCGTGACTCCTTGCTATAAATTTTCGACCGGCTTTCCAGCCTTTCCACAATTCTTACCGCTCGATAACCTCATATCAGCTCCAAAGAGTTCTTCAGAGTCGCAGTTCAACCCTATCAGCCTCAATACAATCTACATTTCGTTCACACCATGGCAGAAGACTACTACGCTCAGGCCACCTACTGGTCCCCTCGTCATCGCAGTCGAAGGAATCAATTGTGCTACCCGCTCTATCCTCAATACGACGATTATGGCGCACTCATGCCGCTTGTGCATGAATACGCAGCCGCTGTACATGCCAAAAAGCGCGAACCCGCAGAGGATTCGGAAGATGACAGCGATATCGAAAAGGCAATAAGAGCGCATGTTGAAGCACTGCAAGAACACGAAAAGGTCAAAGAGAGCTTCGACGACGCAAAAAAGAAGCTCGAGGAAAGTGAAGCGAAAGTGCAGGCAGCGGCCAAGAAGTTAGAGAAGGCAAAGAAGGAGTGGTACAGATACCGTGGTCATTGGTATTGAGACGCCGTACGAGGACAAGGTTCCGAAAGTACAGCGGGCCGCTGACAGAAGATAGAGGATCTTATTGTGCTTGAAAGGAGGCTGCAAGCTATCATGGATGGGTTGGTTGGGCTGTGTGTCGGAATGCTGTAATTGTGTACCAGATTGTCGGGCAGTGATCTCCAAATGTGTCACCAAGTACGCTCCAAAGCTTGTACACAAGCGGTTTAGAGTAGTAACATCGTAATACAAGAGGGCTTCAGCTCTTCTTGCAGGTTGTCCGCTCCGAATTGTCGAAGCTTACTCAGGCTTTCTCAAGATGCGCATGATTTGTTCGCACGAATTGCTTCGAAGCCGCTGCCCCATATGTGTAAGTTGATGGCATTTGTCGAACAATTTTAACATCTTAAATGTGTCGTGCGCTGTGCTTGGTGATTGTTGTGTGCGCTGTTCGATAGCACCCTTGCCATGTATGTTTCTTGTTAATGACATGTCGGTCTCGCTGTCCTGGTTTCGTTTGCGTTTCGCAGTCACTGTATTGCATCACTGAAGTCTCAGGTGTTTGATACAAGCCAATGTATAAGAGCTTGATCTCCATGCAGACCAGATAACTTTTCATCAAGCATTCTTGCACCGGATAGGAACAAAACCATATCTTCCGCGCAGCTACAATGAGCACTCATGGTTCCAGCAATGCTGCACAGTCTGACAATTCCACGGCCGGAAGTGTTCCTCATTGCAGACCCTGTGACGAGAAAGATGAGTGTCGTCCTGAAATTGAGACTCTGGTCGGGGCTGAGTCTCATGGGAACAATTTGGCTGAACGAGGAGTTCCGACCAGCGATCGGCGTCCAAGTCGTGACCGCAATGCCAGAGCAGATAACGACCACGACCCCAGCCCATCCATGGCGCCTCCTCTAACCACTGAGGCGCCACATTCCAGCACAGCAAGTACTGAACCTGTGAATGAGTCAAGACCAAGCATTCGGGATCTGCACACAGTCATTATCCTTGTTCCACAATACGGGAGCAGTGACGTACGACCGACCGACCCACGCACTAAGTATAGAGAGTGTGTCATTCGCGTACTCGACGCGCTTTTTGATCAGCGATCAGAGTTAAGAGAGGGCTAAGGCCCGGTCATGGAGGGTTTTAAGAGAAATATGAAGATTGTATCGCCGAACATACCTGCTTGACTTCTTCACATGAGTACGCTGCCTTCCAATTCCGCTGTTCTTTGAGGTCCGGTCCTGAGTGACGTAGCCACAGTCCAACTGGTTTTGACACCTGTGGCCTAAATGTGACAGGCCATAGTGAATCTCAATGTGAATATTGATCCAGACTAATCGGGTCACAATTCCCAAACGCTTGTAGCAAACATAAGAAACAGCTGACGGCGAGCAACACTGCAATCACGTTGCATAACACAAGCGACACAATGTTGAAGAAGATAACGTCCCTGACGAAAATTAGCAGCAGTACGCAGAGTGCGCCTCGCAGCCCATCACAAAGCCGTTTCTTACGAAGAACCCATACCGCTCCCGATTTTCCAAAGACAGCGAAAATCAAAGAGAAAGTTCAAACGTCTCGCACAGGCGGTAAGAACCTCTCAATACTGAGACCGAGCCCATTACTGACAGTTCTGCAAGTCAAATTGTTTGAGCCGTTGCCTGAACATGACGAGTCGCACGTAGGCCCGTATGGTGTAGAAGCGCCATTGCATTGGGAATTTGTCATAACAGTGACCGAGGTCACAGTGACTGTGAATATGGATGGCGAGAAGGGGAGCTGTCAAAAGCCAGGGCGAAGCAGTGATGAATCTGGTGAAGTCGGTAGCGAGAGCAAACAGAGGTAATAAGTCGATTAAATTAACGTTGGGCATTCAAGATTCTTGATGTTATTGAATATCAGAAGTACTGATAAAGCTTTGGATCCGTGAGCCAAGGTGGCTTTCTGAACGCTCATAGAGTTGATCTTCATTATCTCAAAATGTCGCAAACCATAGTCGAAACCGACACTGATACGCTAGTAGCTCCAGAATACCTCTTAGTAAGCCAAGTCCCCGAGGCTGATGAGCAGCCAAGGATCGTTGTAACAGATATCGACGCCGAGTTAGCAGCGGTGACAAAGCAGATCCAGATCATCCCGTTCTTCGAACCACAGCAGAGGTCTATCGATCATGCTGTCTGCGGTTGGTGAAGCAAGGCGCCAGAACCAGTGTTGTAAAGGAAGTTCGCGTGAGCGCACTGAAGATTGGTTGATTGTCGCGAAGAAGGAAGTCGAGACCTGGCTAGCGGGCGTAAAGGATATCATCAAAGCAGTAGAGGAGGCAGTCCTTTGAGCGAAGAGAACCTAGTCAAGAGTGGTCCCATAGTCTGTAGCAGACCTCTGGTTGTGATCTCGGCAATGACGGAAAGGTATGCAGGGTGCATGCACATGACAGGGCTCGAAGAAGAGTCGTCTCAAGTATCGAGCACACCTCCCTTGCCATGTCCACTGATTGTCTGTCTAGTCCTTTATGAATATCTGGTCTAAATCTTGGAAGGGAAACTTATGGGGTATGTATCGTCCTCGGATTAGCAGAATGCTACGAATGCTGAGGAGAGGGTCCTCGTCGGCTTCGTCTGGTCCTGGAAATGGTACAACAATGCTTCTGATGGCGGCCCTTTGCTGAGGTGGATCGAGCAGTCGCTGTTCCAGAAAATGATGGAACGAGTCTGCTTTTATGAAGCACTAAGTACATAGCTTCATGAGCAGTATCGTGGTCTCCTTGTATATCTGACGGCATGTCGCGGTGATTCGTACATCTTGCATGATTTGTAATTGCCTGTGAGACACCTGCAGTTTGGGATACTTTCCTCGGATGAGGAGGGAACTGGGAGGGGGCCCTGGGCTCGAGCTATGCGACAAGACCCCGCCTCTGGAACCCACACAGGCAAATGGCGAGCCAACCACGTAATCCCAAATTGAAAGCCGGATTTATCTCAAAAGAGAAGATTTTTTTGCACTGCGTATATAACTAAAAACCAGTCAGTCAAAGCATCTTGGTCACAATTAAAACTGCGAGCCCACATGGTGGCTTGCTCAGCATTCAGATCGATCGTGTTCTGCAGCAGGCTCGTGTCGTCCGACCCTTGAAGTTGGTGACGGGTGTCAAACGCCATCACAGTTTTCAAGGCGTGTGGTATCGTGCGGTCAGTAAGAACAAGAGTAAGCAGCTCTGTCATGAAGCAGTCTTGTCGGTTGAGGGCTAGGGTTGGTGGAATAGAGTGTACATGGTTCCAACTGATCCGACCTACGCTAAACTACATGTAGCTGGACCCTGTATAAACCTTTCACATCGTCCTCCATATCAATCACGATGAGATTGTTGCCTGAAGCTCAATCGCTGCGTAGCCATGTATCGGTCAAAGTGTCTAATCTCAAACGGATTATAACTCGGCGAGATGCTGGAGGAGTATCCTCGACACCATCGGCCTTAACAAGGGGTATGCTCGGACTGATGAGCAATACCTCCTGTAAGCTCTGCAAAACCTTCTCGTGCGATCGGTGCGGGCCAGGTGGAGTAACAGCCACTCTTCGTATGGCTTCTTTGTGGTGCACGGCAATCGACCCCAGACCTCTGGCTGTGACGAATTGATCAAGAGTGAACGCATCCTCGAAGGACCACACCCACAACTTGAATGGTAGCAAAGACGTATCCTGATGCATTTGTCGACATACACGGGACAGTAGAGTGATGTCAGTGTCGAATGGCACCGCCTTCGCAAGCAGACCACGTGCTGGGGACTCCAGAAGCGGCTGAAGGTCGTTGAAGCAGCTGTACGAAAAGCCTGTTGGGGAGAAGATGCCCGACCAGTTCATTCGAATGTGCACGACACGACGCTCGATGATGTACTCGAAGATTTGGGAGCGCAGCTCAAAGGGCAGGTTCAAGAGCGGAGATTGGCCCGGCGGCCTTGAAGCGCACGTCATCGTCTTGGTGGGAGTTGTAGGCTCTACAGGCTCATGCGGGGGTTTCTAGCTACGGAAGAAGAGCTCATATAACGATATACTGAAGGACTCTGTGAGTTTGGGGTTTTTAAGTGGATGATAAAAGTTCTGGGGGACATCGACGTGATCGCTCGCTCAGAAGGAAGGCAAGTTGACCGATTACACTTGACTACTCTGGGCTTAGGCCACTGTGACACAACCAGGGAAATGACGATGTCGTCGCGACCGACGCGCCGCGCCCATGACAGTTGCAATTGCTCGACAATGTGAAGGGGTCAGAAATATGAGAGAGCTCTTCACATGACACAATAGTTCTACTTCTTTGCTAGCCGCAGTCTGCGGCCGCTTTAGACTCCCATAACCTCAACCTCAACCTCCACCTCGGACAACTTCTTCATCGCCTAGATTCTGTTCCACTAGTGCACTACTGTTACCTGGTCTTTCGCAAGAATCTTCCTAGCGTCCTGAATCCTCTCCAGCTCAATCTCCTTTTGCTTGTCGTCTAAATCATCGGGCAAAGTACCAAGCGCACGTTCACCGAAGAGCAAATCAATCTCCTCTAGAGATTTCTGCTTCGTTTCCTGAAGTAGTCAGTTACCATCCACAGAGCAATAATTGACCCAAAACGTACCTTGTAGAGGAAGAAGATTACCGGCAGCGTGATGAGCAGGTTCCACGCCACAAAGATGAAGTAGAACTTCCACTTAATGTTCCCAAGACCAATAGGAGATACCTGCGACCAGACGGTGCCGACAAGCCAGTTACCGATACCTGTTGCGAAAGCCGATCCGCGTCCACGAATACTAAGCGGCATGATCTCTGAGGCGTAGACCCAGGAAATAGGACCGAATGAGACACTGAAGATGCAAGAGACCAGGAAAAGGAAAAAAACTCCTGCTGCAGAGAGGCTGTTTTTGCGCGATCCAGTGGCTCCTTCGATTTGTGAACCCACTGCAGCTTCGCAGATTAGCGCGATACTGATTCCGATCGTACCGAACAGCAAAGGTTTTCTTCGCCCAACTCGATCGAGGAGGAAAACGATGAAGATCAAGTTGAAAATGGGGCCGACGACATTATAGATACTGGTTACGAGCAGGGCCCGGTCACCTTCGATGCCCAAGTTGTGATACATAATGGTCGAGTAGTAGCCGATAACGTTGATACTAAGAATGGTGATCAGTATGGGGCATCCAGATCGTACACCAAGGTTTCACGTACCCAGTCATTTGTCCAAAGAGTTGGATAGAGGTCGCGTGTAGCAAGCGTGTCCGCCAGGTCTTGACTTTAAACATGATCGCCCAGCCAGGTGCTGTGATGGCCTTCTCGGCATCGATAGTAAGCTTAATCTCGTTGAACTCTTGGTTGATCCAGTCCTCATTGGTACCGTTGTAGTGCAATTTGTGCAGAACTCTCAACGCTTCGTCACTGCGGTCGGTTTCGACAAGGTAACGTGGCGACTCTGGGAAGAACATGATACCACAGATGATCATGAGGCAGGGAACACACTGGAAAGCGAGAGGGAAACGCCAGGAGAATGAGTTGGTCTCGGGAACCTTCGAGGACCCGTAACCCACCCAAGTCGAGACGATGAAACCGATACCGATCATTTGTTGGGCAATACCAACAATGAGACCTGGCGAAAGATCAGTGAAAATTCAGACAATCCAAAAAGTTGACCTACCTCTCGTTTTCGGATGAGCACATTCAGACTGGTAGATTGGAACAGACATGGACAGTACACCGACAGCCCAACCAGCCATGATACGACCAACGAGAATCATGCCTAGGTGCTGAGCTGCGCTTTGAAGAATGGCGCCAATAAGGTTGATGATCGCTCCAATCATGATGGTCTTCCTACGACCGAGACTATCCATTGTAAATCCTCCCCTGCTTGCTGTTAGCTGATTCCCTTCCTAATTGCTTTGCCAACCTACATCAACGAACCAAACACCGCACCTCCCGAAAACGTGGCATTGATGGCACCTATGATATTCGACTCCGCATTCGTGTTGAAGAAGTTTAGGAAGTGAGGTGATTGGATGACGATTGTCATGACACCACTATCGTATCCAAACAGGAAACTACCATTGGCGGCGAACACCGCCAGGCAAACGTTGAAAAGAAGACCCATATTTGCTAGTAGCCTCCAACGAGCAACGAACAAAGGAATTGGGAGCCACGGAAGCTACGCGAGGCGGCACCCCAGGTCTTAAACAAGGCCAAAACAGCACGAAATCACGCCGTTGTACCACGCTGATCATGCATGTTACACCACGCCACAAGTGTCTAGAGCCGGAAACCCGCCCCTAGACTCCATGAACGGGCTGCCAACTGCCAACAAGATGAAGGAGCGGGTCATGTTTCTGAGCTTGTTGATCCCAAACATGAGAACCTGGGGTCAGAATAGGGTAGTTGGGGTACAGTAGCGTGAGCAGGGTCAAAGCGTTGCGGGAGGGAATGCTTGATTTCCCGCCAATCGACGGCAGGCGTTGTGCATCCCCGCTCGCTCGCTTCATTAATACCCGGTGGCTATATGTGAAAGTAGTATTGTATGCCTACAAGGACAGTGACATCTGATCGAAAAACCGTTGTGCGGCTCTACTTCAGGTATTGATCGTGTACGCCCCGTCTCCGTACGCTAGTTGTAGCAGGACATCCGTTGTAAGCGGTCCGCTATCCTATCCAAGGTTGGAGACCTTCCAGTCGCCGTTCAAGGCGTCCAGGCCTGTCAGCTCACCATTGGAGTCAACCTCAAGGGTGCCCTTCTCATCACCGTTGGTATCCACAAGTACGGCTTTGTCACCTTGCTTGACGCCGTATAGACGCACTTCACCTCCGGAACTCAGCCAATCATATCCGAATCCGCCTGAGCCTTCTGCTTGTCCCAGCACTAGCACACTTCCTTCGCGCACGAACAGCGGTGTTTGCAGGAAGCTGTACTTCTCTCGAATCCATCTGCTGCCTTGAACCTCTTTGCCGTCCCAGAAGCTGAACCATCGACCTGGTGGCAGGTAGTACTCAGCGCTACCGTCCTCTTCAAAGACTGGAGCAGCAAGAAGTTGGCTACCAACCATAAATTCACGATCGCAGTACCATGATGTTGAGTCGTCAGGAAATTCAAGAGCGACTGCACGAACGCTAGTGGGCCACCCATTCGCAACACTCTCAATAGACTGAGCGTATAGGTATGGCATCAATTGGCGCTTGAGCTGTACCCAGTGTCGGAGAACATCTGTGCAATTCTCAGGTTCCGTCGAAGAATCGTCTACCAGCCAGGGCACACGATACGAGTTTGATCCGTGGAGTCGGCTGTGTGAATTAAGAAGACCAAAGGCGACCCAACGTTTGTAGATCCATGGGGGTGGACTGCCCTCAAAGCCACCGATGTCGCTGGTCCAGAAGGCAAAAGACGCCAGACCGAGACTCAATCCTCCCCGAACTGATTCAGCAAGTGCAGCAGGCGTAGACTCGCAGTCGCCGCCCCACTGGAGTGGGAAACGTTGAGAGCCAGCGCATGCTGTACGCGCAAACAAGATGGCCTCGTTCTTGCCGAACCTCTTTTGCACAGCTTCATATACAAGTTTGTTGTAGATGAAGGCGTAGTAGTTGTGCATGCGACTGGGATCCACGCTCTTATCGTGCCACTGAACGTTCTTAGTAGGAATGCGCTCGCCAAAGTCCGTCTTGATGGAATCCACACCCATGTCTAACAGCTGCTCCATGCAGCCGCTGAACCACTCGCACGCTTCGGGATTCGTGAAGTCGACTACACCCATACCTGTTTGCCACAGATCCCACTGCCAAACATCGCCATTGGTTTTCTTAAGCAGATAGCCTTTCTCAGCTGCGTATTTGAAGACGGGACTCGCTTGTCCCACATATGGATTCGTCCAAACGGAGACCTTGTTGAAGAGGCCGGCTTCCTTTCCACGCTGAATCTGCCCTTTGGCATCGGGAAATGACTCTGGATCCCATACGAAGTCACACCAATGGAAAGCGCGTAGCCAGAAACAATCGAAGTGGAAGACTTCAACAGGGATCTTTGACTCCGACATGCGCGACACAAAGTGATTGACGGTGTCCTCATCATACGAGGTAGTGAAAGAAGTGCTGAGCCAGAGACCGTAGGACCATGCTGGGACGCGATTGGCTTTGCCGGTCAGGATGGAGTACTTGGTCAAAACCTCTTTTGGTGTTGGTCCATAGATGAGATACCTCCAGTTCGTCAGTACAACATGACAAGTAGGCAAGACCACAGACTCACCACTTCAATCGCTGCCCTTCAACAGTAGTTTGCAATCTTGAACATCGCTCGCTTCCAATTTCCATGTCAATCTTGTCTGGCGTGTCAATAAAGACACCATAGCCTCTTGAACTCAACCAGAAAGAAACATTCTTGTAAGCCTGCTCGCTGGAGGTACCGCCATCTTCATTCCACACTTCGACATTTTGGCCAATCTTGTTCCAAGCACCGAACCTCTCACCAAGGCCGTGGATCGATTCGCCAACACTAAGCTCCGTCTGTGTAAAAACATAGTGCTTGTGCGCACTCAGATCCTCAACCTGCTTCGGCGTGCTCAGGGCAGGTGAGTACGCAAGGCCAACACTGCGATTGAGCAGGGAGGTCAAATGCTTCGAGTCGTTGGTAGCATGAAACTTGATGTCGAATGTGTGGTTATTGCCACTAACAGTTGCACTAAGCGATCCTGAGGTAATGGTGGCCCCTTTTCCATCTGCGTTCTTCTTGACATCGCCAGTCGATTCAGGACGGCCGTCCGGGAATAGATCAATGTCGGGTCCAAGTCGTCTAGCACCAGCGTGATGAGTGACTTCGAGAGATATCACACCATCGAATTGTGCCTCCAGCTCCACGGAAAGGGTTGCAAGATTGAGAGTGTCGCCCCGTGAGAAGATCTTCTTGGTAGGCGCCAGGAGCGTCACAGCTTTGTTATCCTCGCGTGGCGTAACCGAGTAAACCTCTTCCGCATGCTGGACCGTGAACTGGTCGTTCACCAACCACATGCCTACATGGTATCAGTACCGTCCTTGTCTCCTCAACATTGAGTTCTTACCATCGCGAAACTTCATCTTGTTGGTTGTGAGTCGTGATTATGAGAGCGAGCCTCAATGACGTCCGAGGGTACAACTGAAGCTCCTTCACGTTCCGACATCTTTTAACATGCTCCGCCATTCTATCTCGAAGCGAAAAGTGGCGCGCTCGGACTTGCGGGCCGTCCCTGTCCTCGAGCGTGGTAGTGTGTGGACGGAAGATTCGGTCAAGCATTCACCGAATCTCCTCACGAGAGCGGGGTAGGGCGGCCTGCCTAAACAGGCAGTCATGCGACGCTCACCAGTTGCAATAGCGCCGCCAACTTGCAGTGCAGATTATCCGGCACATTTCTGAAATGAGATGCCTGCTGCAGTTGACGTCGACTTTCCATTGCTGCCCTTTGATCCTCAGCTACTGGTAGCTGAATACGCTTGCTGGAACGGGTCTTGTCGTGTCGGCCGTTCACGCTTGAATACTTATAGCTTCGGCATTCCTCCTCATCTGAGTGGTCACAGGAATTTGATCCATACTCATCAAGTCTGCTGGCTTCTGAAAGGTAGCGCATACTATCCTTATGTTTTACACCCGCCGGCTGGACTTCACCCAGCGGAATTCAGAGAGCACATAGACGAAGTACCTCCCCATCGTGAAGGAGGTGATAGGCTTTCGTATCCCAGAAACGACCACTTTACACTACGTCGAGCGATGCGGATCCGGCTTTGGGGATAGACTAGGAGTGACTCTTGCATCAAATACCGGAACGATCAGTATGCGCCTGTGTTACTTGTTGGCTACCGGAAGGACCTGGGCTGGGATGCGATGATGGAGATGTCTTTCAAAGACGACATCCATCTTGTGCAAAGATACGCTGCGACGAATAGCGCGGAAGGCCAGCGCATAAGAGATGCGCAGGAAGAGTTTACAATGCCTGATGTCATGAAAGTTTTCTGGATGAATCGTACTGTAATGACAGATAGTAATATGGGTTGATCGAGCGATAAGTACCCATTGCAAAATCATCAAATGCTTCGCTTTCTCAATGCATTGGGTAAAGCTCCAAATGCGGCAATATGTAAGTGCAAGAATGGTAAGCTTGACGAGGCGAAGCTGACAAAGTACAAGAAATTTAGTGAGACGCAGCGTAAGACATGCTCCTTAATTGAGCTGCAAAAACCAGCATAGCTGACATTCTGGTCCTGGTAGTAACATCGATGCTGGTTGCACGCTGGTTGCGCGCCGTGTCGAAGGGAAAATGAACGTCTGGCGAAGGCATCGAAGCGGATGGATTGTTTGGCTGACACCGCTGGAACGCAACGACTCTTGTCACGTTAGCTCGGACATCTTGGCGCACAGGCGCCGTATTTGAAAGCTAGAATGGAAAGAAATGTAAACGATCTCGCAGTGCGTAAGGCTAGCAAGCTTGCACCGTATCCGCTTTTCGCTCGCCGAGACCCTGCACAACTAGCATCGCAATATCTATCGCCAGGGCCGCTGTTTGATTCGGTTTCAAGCCAAAGTCGCAATCGTCTCTTTAGGAGGAGCAAATGATGGAAGATTATCGAACCAAATTGGACTGAAGCCGCAAACGCATTGGTCAGAGTAGCGCGAAAATGCAAAACAACGTACTAAGCCAGCAGCTCAGTGCAAAATATGCATACAATGTGTACATATCGACTTGCCATCACTCTTGCTCCATTGACATTAAGCAAGTCGAACACACTCTCTTCCTCTTCTTCTTCTTCTTCCTCGCACTTGCAGTAAGGTCTTATGATGACTTCCCTATTGAACACCCCTATCACGGCACCCTCCGGGGTGGTCTTCCCTAACCGTCTTGCAAAGGTATGTTCAGTCCCTTCACCCTCAAGGAGCATGCTGAGGTTTGTCTATAGGCGGCGATGGCTGAGGAGATGGCGGATAATGCCGATCCTGGCGATACACACATCTCGGCGTATACCAAATGGGGTTCTGGAGGATGGTGTTCTCTCCTCACAGGTAGATTTGATGTGCTCAGGCAATCGTCATGCTTATCGCTGACATTTTTCCAGGAAATGTCGAAGTCTCTAGCAAGTATCGCGGGTCTTACAAATCGGTGGTGGCGAAGCCCACATTATCAGAAGCCACACGCGATGTATCGAAATGCTAGGCTCTCACATCTCAGCAAGAAGGGACGCCCACCATTGTGCAGCTTGTACACCCAGGTCGATAAAGTCCGCCGAAGGCTGGTGATCGAGGATTCTTTGACCCAACCATCGCCCCATCTCCAGTTCCTATGAATATCGGCGATGGCATTCTCGAGAGAGCTTTGCAAAGGGTTGCATTCGGTACTCCGAAAGAAATGTCGATCGCAGATATTGAGGAAGTGGTCGACCAATTCGCCTACGCCGAAAAGTTGTCATACGAGGTTGGATCTAAAGGTGTTGAATTGCATGGAGCTCACGGGTACCTGCTCTCGACCTTCCTGACCTCGGAGACGAACTTGCGAACCGATGCATATGGAGGCACGCCTGCGAAGAGAGCTCGTATCGTGATCGAAGTTATTCGCGCTGTGCGAAAGGTCGTTCCAGCTTCGTTCTGCGTCGGCATCAAGATAAACAGTGCCGATGTTGGCGGCAACGAAAGCCTCGAGGAAAGCCTGGAACAGGTTGGTCTGATTGCAGCCGAACAGATCGACTTCCTTGAGATCAGCGGCGGTAGTTACGAGAAGCCTCGCATGTCTACTGGCGACCAAGCGACGCGAGCAGAGAAGCGCGAAGCGTTTTTCCTAGATTATGCAAGTGCTGTTCGAGAACGTTACTCGAACCTTATTTTAATGGTTACCGGCGGTTTCCGTTCGAGAAAGGGGATGGAAGCAGCATTGCAGAGCGGAGCCTGTGACCTCATCGGGATTGGAAGGCCTGCTGCGGTCTGGCCTCAACTGCCGAAGGAGATGTTGCTAAACGAGAAGGTGGAAGTCACGGCTGCGGTGAAGAAGCTTAACACTTTGAAGCTGCCTTGGCAGTTGCGGATAATTCCTATCAAGCTCATCGGTGCTGGAGCAGACACAGTAAGTACTTTCCGCGATGTAATAGAGCAAAGACTGACCGAAACAGATGTACTACGCAAAGCAAATACAAGCAATTGCTTTCCGGAGGATACCGCAGGCACCGCCAAGTCATTGATAATGATGCGGAAGAGGCCGGGAGCTGCGTGTGACATGGAGAAATACAGAGTTTCGACATGACGTCACTCAGGAAGAGAGGCAGGAGCGCACGGAAGATTCCCAGTTTTGAGATCCATTGCATTTTTTCATAAACGTAATTCAACTCGCCAGAAATAACCTTTAACACATTTTAATTGACTGTGCGACATGAGAGCCTGCGAAAAAACGACGGTCGGCCTGCAGAAGGCAATACTACTCTAAGTTACCTATGTAAGCATATGCCATAGCTGATCGCTCAAGGGCTGAACATACCACCTCCGTGGCTGTGAACATGGCCATCAGCGCCATGACTATGCTTGTCGTGGTGAAGCGTGGTGCCGCTCGAGACAGTGCGAGTATACGACCTCGATGTTCCGCCCTCAGCCTTGCTGTGAGCATGGTAGTGAGCTGATGCGCTCTCCTCAAATCGTTCCATCTCCCTACATTTCTCTTCATACTTCGCGATGTACTCATCCCTCTCACGGTCAGCGGTGTGTCTGGCAGAGATTGCACGCTCTTTCTGCTCACGCGCCTCGCGCAGGAGGGTACGCAAGCTCTCGATCTCGAACTCCAGCTCTACACTGTCGTCGTGAGATCCAGTGATAGTCTCAACAGTCTCCTCATACTTGTGCTTCCAGTCATCAAGCTCTTTACGGTGACGGTCGCGAGCGTCGGTCAAGGTACGTATCTCGCCTTGGAAGACCAAGAGCTTCTCTTTGAGCACCGTCAACTCATTGTGCAGATGTCCATGCTTGGTACGACCATCGTCACCCTCACGGATGAGGACCTTGTTACGCTCAGTAACCGTATGAATCTCAGCCCTAATGTCGGAGATGGTCTGCTCAGCGCGGCGCAAAGACTCCTCGAGCGTGTTGATCTGGCGGTGACGATCGACGTCTTTATTGCGTTGGTCTTGCAAGTCCTCCTTGAGCTGGTCGCGCTCAACAATGATCAAGCGATGGTCTTCACGAGACCTGTCAAGTGACTCTTTGATGTTGATCTCTCGAGTCTCGGCCTCCCTAAACTTCTCCTTGACCGAGATGATTTCGCGCTTCAGGTGCTCATACTTGAGTGTAATATCAGCGCAACGCTCATCAGACTCCTCCCATCCGGTGACCTTAGCCTTAACTTCGCGGCGAAGGTTCTCAATGGTGAGCGAATACTCATCGCGTTCCTCTTCTGCAATGCGTACAGACTCCCTAAGCTTGGTAAGGTCGCGTTGTGTTCGTTCGTGCCGTTCGGTAAGCTCATATAGCTCGCGAGACGACTCGTCCGCCCTGTGTTTCGCTCTCTTCATATCTTCCTGGAGTCTATCCTTCTCATGGAAGTGCTCATCCCTCTCCAACTCGAAGATTTTGATCCGGTCGGTAAGGCTCAGAACCTCCTTGCGTGAGAGCTCGAACTTGCTGTGCGACTCATCGTACCTGCTCTTCAGGTCCGTGTGCTCACGCAGCAAGTTACGAAGCTCGCCGTGGTGCTTATGCGACTCGTCCCTCGCGTGGTCGCGATCATCTTCCACAGCTTTCAGCTTAATGTATATCGCAGCAAGCTCAGACTTGAGCCTCTCGTGCTCGTTGTGGGAGGTAGTCGATGTAGTGCGGAGTTCGTGGAGTTCGGTGCGCGTGCATTCCAATTCGTGATCTCGTTCCGCGATCTTCTTCTTGTGTTCCTGTATAGTAGTGACAGCCACAGAGAGTTCGAGTAGCAATTTCTCAATCTGCTTCTTTCTCTCCCCGTGTTCATGACCATGGTGACGATGCTGGGTTTGGGTGCGCTCAAGCGTCTCTGTCACTTCGTCCACTCTAGTAAGCAGCTCTTCCTTCTCCCTAAAGAGTGTTTCGCGCTCAGAGACGATACGAGCCCATGACTCTTTCAGAGATGATGCCTCTCTAGAAGCTGTAGACATAAGGTCCATCAACGCAAAGAACTTGCCCTCAGCCTGCAAAGCAACATTAATGATAGCTTGAGCCAAGGTGAACGGGAAGACGTACCTGAGATGTAAGTTCCCTCGACATCTCGCTACGGTGGGAGTGCAGGAATGAGCTGCGTCTACGAGCCCCACTAGCCGCACGACTGCTTGATCGACGGGTGATAACTGAGTTCACATTGTTGGAATGATTGGAGAAGTCCATTCCTCTATGTTCACCGATGGGTGAAGACGGTTCAGAGAACACATCTCGGTCGAGTGTGCTGTGCTTGAGCTTCAGTATTGTGAGCTTCTCGGGTGTGATATCCGGCAAGGGTGCAAGCATGTCTTGTACCGCGGACATCTTGCAATATCTTCCAGTTGTCTTCGGGTGTGTATGTGATGCGGGTCCGACGAGGCAAGACAAATAGAAATTTCGATAGGACGCAGAATGGCTACTTGCGAGCAACAAAATCAATAATCTTGATACACTCAACCTGCTCGGTGACATGCTTTTATAGGCGCACTCTCGGCAGATTCTGTACTGCCCAGGTACTTACTCGCCGTCGTGGCTCTCAGCTCACCAGCTGAATGATGCATGGCTGATGCAGCTCATTGCGCTACAGCTATGAGTTCTACTCACAACAGCAAAGATCCACCAGCCAGTACCTCAACCACGCGTACAATTGGAGCCACCATGCACAAAATGACGACCTGTCTGCAGAAAGCGGAGGGGCGTACCTCGTTCGTTCATGGTGCTCTTCTCGGCCTAAGCGATGTCCTGCAGGCCTAAGATCAAATCGTTGATGATCCTGATCTTTGTCGGCAGCGATCCCAATACGATTGGTTCGATGCCAGTAAATGTGGAGCTGGAAGTCGGCGATACGATCCTGCAGGTAAGTGGAGAACGGATCTGCTTCGGCAAGACCGGATTGCTCGACGTCGCTTACATTTCTCAGAGTTCACGACCCTTCTTGTATAGGGAGCAGTGTACATGTTGCAGACTGTGAGAACAGCGTTGTCAGCTGAGTTGTGAGAGGCTCTTGAGACACGTGGTGGTGAAATAAAATGAGGAAGCGTTGCCAATATTACGGGAGTGGTTGTTTGGTAGAGCAGCTAGCGTTGACCCGGTGGGGTGAGCTCGACGGTGGTGTTGAGGACGTGCAGAGTGCAAGATGAGGAGCTGATGAACAAACCGCAAAGGTAAAATGAGACGGAAGCGCTAGCCTGAAAGAGAAGAGAGTTGTCCAAGTCGGGCGGGTGACGCAAACCCCCGCTGCGTCGATCATTCGCGGGTTGGTTTACCCAACGAATGACAGGCATGCCAGATCCACACTATAAGCAGATCCAAGCAGATTAAGATAGACGCTTTCATGTGTGGATTGTGCGGCTCACTCACATCCGGCGTTCGTCTGGATCCTTAAGCCGCAGCTCAACCCCACAATTGCTCACCTTACTGTACGGAGCTGCGACTATCGAACAAGATCCTGCATTGTTTCAGCAGATCGACATGGCGTCATCCGCAGAGACAGCTCAAACGTTGGCTCGTGAGCCGGTGTATTTACCTCTGGATTGTTGATTATGGCGCTTTCAAGTTCCACGGTACGGCCCAAGCTAGCCTGAACAATAGCATCGCGGGTGTGCGACCTCTACCACAGCTCCGTATCTCCTGCCAGAACTTTTAGCGCCCAAAGACGTTTCTTTTGAGGCTATTGATCAAGTCAATGTCCTGCGCTCTCCAAGTGATGTTTTCCATCACGTTGGTCACGTTGCCTTCATAGACGGAAGTTTGTGGAGTTCTGTTCTCGTAAGCAGTCCAGGTAGGCACTTCGGTCTGTAGGCTGCTGAGAACATTCCTTCTGTTCCAAGCATTGGCGTCACCTGTTGTAATAAAACTAATCCGATCATCCCCCATGAGCCCACCAAAGCCCTTGTAGCTCTGTGGCAGGTCCTGGAAAGGTGGCGTGCGGACAGGGGCGTAACCTACGCCTTCAAGGTTTTTCATAGCGAAGGCGACCTCAACGAAGTGTGTGGCACCGTCATACGGGCCAGTACGGTATTACAGCGGTAACAGTAGGCAGCAAGTGAGTGCGCTGCCCACGTCTGACAGGTAAGGCGTCGGGTCGCAACAAAGGTTTGATCCGTGTAGTATGTGGTAGCGCAATGATATTGCAAACCATACGGGTAGGCCGGAGGCACGAAGTCGAGTGGGCCGAAACTCACAAGATCATTCTCAGATGATTGAAGAGGATATGTATCCAATATCTGTTGAGCAGTAGTCACATTCATTGGCGAGGTGCCAGCTATCGTTACCAGAGAGAGACCAGTACGTGGTGTTTATTGGAAACTTACTAGTCAAGGTTTGCAAGACTGTTGCGATGTGTTCAGTCCTCTTGGTGCAAAACTCGTCCCATCATCTGATTTGGCCCCAACGATGACCGGGACTTTGACGAAGGCACTTTCCGCAATCTGGTCACTCGAGTATCGCGAGATGATGCCTCCATCAATCTGGGGGGTCCAGACGCCTGAGGATTGCGTCATGTTGACAACAACGTTGAGTGCTGGGAAGGGAAGCTCCCGCAGACACTGCAATGCATCGGTCGCGTTGCTGCAGCAGGCTGCAGCACTAAGGTTCTGAGAGGTTGCCTCGTATGAGCGATCCATAGCTCCATCAATGATGGAATTTCCAGATTCCATGATAGCGGAGCGGAACAAGGAATCATCTCATCCGTTGTAAGCAAGCAAATGTACTCCCCGACTTAGGCTGCGCTGGCTGAATGGCTCCAGATGGTCACTTTTCGAGGGTCACCTTCAAGATTGTTAGCACCATTACGCTCGTCGTGTGCCCGTATCTACCACTGACCTCCAAAAGCGTAAGATGTTCTCTTGTCTCCAGTGCAGTGCCAGTCTCTGATCCCGGAGTGCCCAGTCACTGCCTGACTCTGACAATGACCCATTGCCGGTTCACGGGAGTTTTGATAAGCGGGAAAGCAGGCTCTGTCATTTCACCTGCTTCTTCATGCGAGTCGTTGTTACGTTGGGCTGCCATTGCGATCACTGGTCAGTTGTAGAGCGTTTTGTCTGGCGTGGTCGGACTGTCAACGTGGGCATAATCTGCATTAGATGAACCTATGCTCATAGAATTGGCATTGTGCGGCTAATCCTGTTAGCTTCAGATCCATCTCCCAACACAGACAGCAGTATGACAGCACAGTGCAGGATCGTAGTCATATTATGCAGAATCAAGCCCGAACCAGGTAAGTAAACCACGAAATGCCCACGTCACCATTCACTTACAGTGTCGCAAGTGATTTCGCTATAATGGAATCATAATTGCTACTGTTTCTTCCACAAACGCTCACTTCTGTCAGTTGCCAGCATTCGTCGCTTCCACTCACAAACCATCATGCATTTCGCTTACTCCACCGCTTGCTTCTTGGCTGCTAGCAGCCTTACAGTGACTCTAGCGCTACCAGTTGACACCTTCGAGATTAGCTGCATGTCGGCAATATCAACAAAAGCAGTGGCGTCGAAGCCGGTTCTTGCACCACGCCAAGAGTTGGAATGGGCGCCAGCAACATCTGCACCGGCCTGGGCACCTCCAGAACCAACTTTTATCTACGACCCTCCATAGTCCTCTGTGATTGTACCGTCGGTCTCGTACTCGTACACTGACGTCTCAACTGCGACTGCAACACCGCAAGCGTAGAATGATGAAGCATACATACCTTCGCGAGACAATTTGGTAGTCGTGCAATGCCTGTCGCATTCGGTGTCATCGACGCCGTGATACTGGTCGTCATAGTCTCGGCCATTATCGCGCATCGCAACGGTCATCGCTCTTTTGCTTGTTTTGGAGGCTGTGCTGGACGTAAGGAAAACGATGAAGCCACTTGGTGTGGTTTCGTGGACACAGACATACCCGTTGTTGGTGCTGGACGTCTTTACGATCGTCAGCCGGTATCTATGCAGCCGCAGCCGTATCCTATGTCATCACCTCAGCGTCCCAAACCGACGCAGCATCAATTGCCTCGTCAACCGCTGGCTGAGCCTGAGTGGGCGCGTGGATTTTGAGGCATGCAGTAAGTTCTAAATAATTGTGGTGATGCAGTATTAGTCGGTCCATACAAGACCCTATTACCCTGGCTTAGACTGTTCTGGACTAGCATGTTCCGGAGTCAGTATATAGTTGTCTTCTCCTTCCTAGTTAGCAATTCAGCGCAGTATTCCATCGACCCGATAGTCCTACGTTATCGTTTACCGTAGCTATCAGTATTCTACAGCGGTCCACGCCGCCACATGTGTGGATGGGTATCAATGCAAGTTTTGATTCCGAAGCAACAGTGCCCTATTGTAAGGGCTCCGAAATGATGAAATCGTGAAGGAAGCCTGTATTTCTCTGTGAACCGCCGATCCTTACGGTAAAAAATCTACACGCACCTTTGGCTGTGAAATGGACGTACATTGTGCGCCCGTCGCCATCGACAGGTGCTCACGCTCCGTTCGCAAGACTACATTATGCGTCTACATATCATCGTAGTGTGGATGGACAGGCTTCAGAATGTTTCTAGATACCCGCTATCCTGCATGGCTCGTCTCAGATCAGATTTCCCTTGTTCAACTCAGGGTCACTCAGACATTCAATGTATTTCTCAAACACAATGTCTCAGGCAGACCTTTGCAACTTCATTTGGCCGACCGCAGCGCCTGGTGCGCCTGATCAGCTGGCGTCAACTTCAAATTCTTCATCAGTTACAACAGAAGCCGTGACTCATCCCTGAGCTACAAGGACTACTTTGCAAAATCCTTCGGCAACGCAACCAGCTGGTCCGGCCATGCCTTCTTCTGCAACCCAGACTATCCACCTCACAGTAACCTCTACTGTTCTCTACACTCCAGCCGCCCATACCCCTAAGGCCTCCTTGGTATACCAAACATAGCCACTGAACCTTTACATTCCAGTGATCTCCATTAAGTTCCGGACCCCCGTCCCAGAAGTTACAGTCGCTTCTTTCGACCCCTACACTCCACCGGCAGACCCGGTCATCTCGGTCCTCGCCGAATCGACTCCCATCAAGTCGAATTCTGGCCCAACACCAGCACCCTCGTTCTCTCTAACCAACGCGCCAGCCTCGTCATCGGCGCTCTCCTCAGCAATCGCAGGCGTCGTACTCGGCTCTGTTGCTGTCGTCGGCATCTTCATTGTGCTCGCGCTCTATCTCCACCGCCGTCGCAAGGCTTCAACTCACAAGGACACAGAAGCTGCAAAGCTGGAAGACAGGCTGAATGAGAAGATAGCACGCGCGCAATATTTGGGACAGAAGCGATGGTCTGCGCATCATACCATGGCGAGAAAAGGGCGGTTTGAGAAATTGAGGGCAAAGATGGCTGCGAAGAAGGATGAGGCTATTGTTGAGGAGCATGGCGCGGCTGTTGTGGGCGAGGAAGCGGTGGAGATGCCGCAAGTGCAGTATGATCAGGCGCGTCGACCTTCGGGACTGACGATGTATCCCCCGACGCCTAAGTCTGCGAAATCCAAGGAAGGTGTCGGTGCGGATGTGGGGCGCGTGCTTTGAGAGGATATGGGATTGTAGGATTACATATAGGTACACATGTATTAGAACCATCAAATGGAAATAGGTGAAGTTCTAAGTAGCTGATCCATGATTCAAGGTACGATCGATGTGACCGGACTTTTACGAACTAAAGTTTTTCAGGACATGTCACTTGTATCTACGCTCCCTCCTTCAGCGTGAGTGATGACTGTCGCCTCCAATTTGGAATTGAAGGTGCAACCCACTGACTCTCTCGTAGCTGCGTTGTAGCCGCATTGCGCAACGATTCATCTTCCAACAATGCCAGTGATCATGTTTTATCTCTTTGTTCCCACAAACTTGTACTTGCATTGTTCATTCACAACGCTGATCTTCTTTCACACTGAGTCTCTGCGTAGTCTCCCTCATCAAGCTTGAACAATCAAACAGACACCTTTCAAGAGTTTCTCAACATATCCTGACATCATCGTTCGCAATGGCCGACGGAGGCACCCCCGTCAACGCAGAAGACCGCAAAGTCGGCCCCATCCCAGTGTGCATGTTCACTCCCTGCCTTTTGGCGATGCTGGGCTACTTTATCTATCTGCATACAGTAAATAAGTACAAGGATGAGAAGCAACTTGCTGCGCAAGATGCAGAGGTAGCCGGAAGCGGGGGTGAAGGTTGGAGAGATGAGCAGGGACGTGGAGATGCAGGTCCGAGCGTTTGCCGATATGCCATTGGGGAAGTAGCAAGCAACAAAACAGCAAGTAAAAATTTATGCACAAAAACTAACAGGAATTGGTATCTTTTCATATCCAGTCATAAATAGCACGCCGAAACACCATTCCATGGTGACAGATCCACACAGCTTCCTAGAGATTAGCATCAACATGAAGTTTACGAATCCATTCGATCTCTGAACCGACAGAACATCCGACGGAGTCTTCGCCGTAACCGCCATCGTTGCCCTCCTTGGCTTGGGAACTGGGCTCTACGTCTGGTCCACCGAACCGTCCTTATTTCCACCACGGAGAGGCGCTGAGGTGCAGGTGTGATGGATTCCTGGCCGGGGGGCGCGCACATGACGAACGACACGAGACGGTTTACCGTGTCCGTGCGCGTAATGCGCCGAACCACCAAAATAGGTCCACCAAAAATGAGGCTGTAGAGCCACACACAATGGTTATTATCATGAGATTTTCTGGTGGAGTAGTCTATAGACCTATATGAACAAGTTCCTCACTCAAACTTTTGTGGCACTCTGATTGGGCGGCCGCGGCTGTTGTATTTTGCCGGAGGGGATGGGGAGCGAGGCGCGGCAGCAGCACGACTACGGGCCGCTGCACTACCACGATTCTGCTTCTTCCTGGGTGCTGCAACCTCTGAGGCCTTGCGTTTGCCTCTTTGGGACAATTGTATAGGTTTTTTGGTGTTGCGCTCCCTCTGTTGATGCTCTTTTTTGGCCTTGCGTTCGGCAACCTCCTGAGCCTTCTCAGCCTTCCGCTGCTCACGCTCTTCCTTCTCCCTCAACTTCTGCTCACGCCTCTCCTGTGCAATCTTCTCCTTGTACAGCTTATTGGCGTGCCTCAGTTTAGCCATCTCTGCTTTTTTGAGCACCTCTGCCTTCTGCTCTTGTTGTTTTGCCTTCTCACATGCGCGTGCTTTCTCTACTCTACTAGGAGAGTAAAACTCGGCTCCACCGTGGTAGTCCTTGTGACGCTGAAGCTCAAGAGGCTTGCTCTTCTTCTTGTGCTTCTTCTGAGTCTTGAGAACCTCCTTAAGGCCTGTAATCTCATGGTGGAGGACTGAGTTTTGAACTGAGATGTGGTGGAGTGAGCGCCTGATCTTTTTCAGGTCTTCACTGCCTTCGTCCTTGGCGACTTTGCGCAACAGAGTCTCTGATTTGAGCCAATCCTTGCCGCTGTAGACTGAAGAAGAGCTTCTGTTGCTATCGGAGCCCTCAGGGGTGGGCTTAGCAAATCGCTGGAGGATTACGTCGGGTCGGAGGGGTGCTATACCTGTAGCCTCAAAGGACCTGAGTATCAACCCCTGAGTGAACGTACT